GGTAAAACTGTTTAATGTCATACTTTGGAACATTCCAGGCAGAGCAGTGACATCGCCGTAGAAACAAGAAGGTGATGGATCCCCGAGTACCGGGATTCCTACAGTGTTCCCGGTTGTGTTGCAATGTGAACGTGACCTGTTGTGTTGTAATCTAATAACCCACTTTATAAGGTTAAAATGACACTAGCCTCGGTCTCTTTCAACTATAAACAGAGAAATGTGGGCCACAACAAACGTGACTCTAAAACTCTTTTAATCATTGACAAACTCATATCTGACCTCTCACCTTCCTGTTTACTGCGTTTCTCTCAACTTTTCACTGAACTCAGGAGGAGGTCTGGTTAATTTTGCAGAACTTGATTGTAGACAAAACATCAGAAAAAGGTATAGGTATATAGGTATGTTAACAAAACAGTGTCTCTGTGGAGGGAGAATTATTATTATTTATTTTTTATTTTTATTTATTTATTTATTTTTAACATATTCTGAAAAATTCTAGGAAAAGCAAAATAATTTTTTTTTTCTCTTTGGTAATTTGGTTCAAAAACATTCTTTCTTATTGTATGTCTGTGCTCTCCAGCTGAAATGATTATATCTGGATTTGGGTTTGAGTGTTCTAGTTTAGTTCTGCTTACGTCCTGGTTAAGCCCTGTTTAAAATGCACAGGGCAGCTTTTTTTATTTAATTTTTTTCTAATTATAAGAGAACTCGATTTGTCTCTAAGCAAGTGGGACCCAAATGTTGTTTTGATTTGCTTTGACCACAGGACTCACTACACTGGCCACAGGCTGTTTAACACGGGATTCTCATCAGACTCTTCAGTCAAACTGCATAAAAGGGCTATTAGAATCGATAACAAAGCAGTCTATTTTGAACCAACTAATCATTTGTTTATTCAGAGTAACTCTTTAAAGCTAAGGGATATTGTTTGTCAAAAAAAATTATCATTCCAAAAAGCATACAGGATTTCTTTGAATGAAGAGTTAGAGGATAATTTAAGAGGTTTACATCATTTTGACCATGCTACAGTCAGAACAAACATTAAATCAATATGTGTTTCAGCTCTTGATGTAATGTTATGGAATGAACTAAATGATCAATTTAAATTATCTACTTTCTTAAGGTTTAAAAAATGTCTCAAACATTAAAAATATCTGTGATGATCAAAATGATATGTAAAATTGAGAACTGTAAATTTGTCCACTCACCTTATTCCGGAAGTTCCTGTGGGCACCGCCATCATCATTCAGGGTTATATTATTGTGCATTAGGCTCTCGATTTTAACAGCAAATAAGTTCAGTAAAGATGATAAAGCCATTTTAAAGCCCCTCAGAGAATCAGTGTGACCTGTACTTGACTTGCACATGAACACTGAACATTTTACACAAATTAACCAACTTTATGTCATGTTTCAGATGCAAAACATTTCCCAAATCCTCCACTGATGTGACTGGGATTCCTGGAAGTGCAACCACATTAAAGTGCAATTTAGGAGCATTTAGAGACAAAAGTGTGTTTTGCTCAGGATGTTTTATTATAAAGCTCTTTTAGTATCTTGTACATGAATTTGATGTCATAGGATAGGCACTATATAAACATTGCTTTAATCAGCTTTAATTTGACTAATACCTGTTTCTTTGTCTAAAAAAAAGTGTATATGCTGTAATTATTTTAAAATACTAAAATCATCATCAGAATATTTTTGACGCTTACACTCATGGCCTCTGAGGTTGCACACCCACCCATCTGTTTAGGGAAAAGATTTTAACCAGCCCAACATTAAAACACTTTTTCTGCCTCTGGACATTGTCAGGAACACTGTCCTCATGAATGGACTCTGGAAAAACGTTCTCATGAATCATATCTCAACACAATCTCTCCAAAATACCACTAATCAGCTCGTGACAGAACCCTTCTCTGTCTGGACTGCACCCATGTTATTCCTACAAACTACAGAAACATAATCTTCCCTCACACATTTTCTTTTTCTCGCTTTCTCTCTTCTTTTCTTCTCTTCTTCCCCCTAGAAATTATGTTATCTGGCAATTTGGCAAAACAAGGTCCTATCCAACTTCTCATGCGCCCAAATCTTTTTTTAACGCGCCACACTGTTTTTAATACACTTGGTCAAGCTAGGCACACATACACTTCATACTGTCATTTAAGGCAAAGCTTTTTGGGTGCACAAATAAATGAGAAGCTTTTAACACCAATCTCAACTACTGTACCGTTTGTCTGTTGTGGTATTGTATGCATTGTATTGTACTTTTTGTATTGTCCTGCCTTATGTCCTGCCTATGTATACATATATATATATATATATATATATATATATATATATATATATATATATATATATATATATATATATATATATATATATATATATATATACACACATGTTGTAAGTAAAATTGTAAATGTAAACTGGCTGTTCATATGATGTTTTCTTTCTTGGAATTCTGTCACTGTTTAATAGGGTTAGGCATCATAAGTACTTTTTACTTCAATCTAAACACTTTCGGTCATGATCCATGGGGGTTGTAGTTTGTTTAGTTTTGCTTTGCTTTGTTTTGTAGCACTGTAAAATGAATAAAACTACTACTATATTCACTTTAAAGGGCCCATATTACAGTGTTTTCTCATTTATGTTATAATGTAGTTTCCTCATCACAAACAGACGTGGAGTTGTGTTGTGTTTCATTTATACAGGTTTAACACAACACACAAACCCTGCAGATTTAGACTACACTACATGACATCACAAGGTGGAACAGAACATTTTGAGCTTTGGAGATGTAGACAGACTAATAATAAAGGGTTACTCAAACATGTGAATGAAAAAAAAAACACAATTCCAGATTTGTTTTTGATGAGGTAACAACATTTTAAGATGGTTTAAAGCTCACAAGAGTCAATTTTGCGTATTATAGGATCTTTTGGGTGTACTGTATCTAGTTCTGGTTTAGTTCTGGTTAAGCCCTGTTTGGGTCCTGTTCAAATCCAGGTTTAGTTCTGGTGTGGATGGCCCTTAACACTTTAAGGGCACATGCACATTGTTTTTATTCTGACACAGAAAGCAGAGGTGTATTTCCTGTTTGTTCTGGATCCAGTTTCTCACAGATGCCCTCCTCCGTCTAAAGGAGCCAGTGTTGAGTTTCCTCCTCTAGTTTCACACCTTTCAACTAACTGATCACACAGAGCAGACAAACAACGGGCATCACGAGGCCATGTCCTGGTTCTTTGTTAAAGGTGCACTGTGCAACTCTTCTCGTGGAGGGTCTGCCACCTGCTTGTCTCCATGGAGATGTGATTGTTGGGTTTCAGAGGACATCACAGCATTCTGTAGTTTGATGGTATTTAATACAAGCTAAAGGAGCTAAAATTAATATAAGTAAACTGCTCATTCTTCTTGTAATACAGTGAGTTCTAGTCATTAAAAGACATCATCACACAATATTGACTCTTGTAAGATTTAAGCCATGTTGGAATGTTACCTCATCAGAAACATACCTGGAGTTGAGTTTTGTTTCATTCGCAAGTTTGAGTAATCCTGCATTATTTGCTCTGTTCCACCTTGTGATGTAATGGAAGATTTAAAGTTAACAGTATCCTCCATCCATCCATCCATTTTCTTACGCTTATCCGAGGTCGGGTCGTGGGGGCAGCAGTCTAAGCAGGGACTACAGCATCCTTTTACCTTTTATTTAGTAGAGCTTGAGAATTCCAGGGTTGAAATCATCCAAATGATTCTAGTGAAGGTGTATGGGGTGTAAAAACACAGTGGACACAGTTGCTTTGCCTGGAATGTTCTATGGAATGACATTAAACATATCCATCTAGCATGATATGGGTGTTTCTATTGCTCAGAAATACAATAATTCCTTATTGGAAACATTTCCATGGAGACAAGCAGGTGACCAAGCCTTCACTATACAGTTGCGCAGTGCACCTTTGAACGCTTGTTAAGTCTTAGTATAATTCAGGTTAAACTGTTAAAAAAAAAAAAAAAAACAAGAAACAAAGAAGAAGGCTGAAAAGATCTAGTCCATGAGGTGTACTGACTTCAACAGCTTTGTGCCAAATACTTCAGAAACCTGAAACTGTAGAAGTGGGACATGCTATGTTATACATGAGTGACAGGTTTTCATGTTAGTCATGATTATTACTGGTTACCTCCGCCAAGGAGGTCATGTTTTTGCCAGCGTTTGTCTGTTTGTTTGTTTGTTTGTTTGTTAGCAACATAACTCAAAAAATTATGGACCGATTTTGATGAAATTTTCAGGATTTGTTGGAAATGTGAAAAGGAAGAACTGATTTCATTTTGGGGGTGATCCGGAAGAAATCCTGGATTCTGGATCACTTTGAAATTTTAGTTAACATTGTAGTAAATGGGGCCAAAAAGTTTGTTTCTCAATATCTCGGTTAATTATTGACCAAACCCCATGAAATTTGACTCAGGGATGGACAATAGGATCCTCTTTCATATTCCAAAGGCTGATCCGGATCTGATCCAGAAGACTGATTTTATCGCAATTTATATAAAAAATTGGGATAGTCCTTGGCGGAGGTCTGCGCTCTCTGAGTGCTTTTCTAGGTTTGGCGGGTTGTACCGGTTGTAAATATTTCTCATATTTTTACATCAATTAAAAGGCCCATATTATGCAATTTTCTGATCTGTTATAGTTGTTTCCCCACATACCTGGAGTGGACCTGTTTTGTTTCATTCACATTTTTAACACACAAACTCTGCATATTTAGGCTGTAAATTGAAAACACTTTAAGTTCTCACTCACAAGTTCCAACTTGTGAGGTCAGTTGGTAATACAGAAAGTGCTCCATTGTGTTTTTAAACTCCATACACCTTTATTAGAATGATTTGGATAATTTCAGCCCTGGAGTTGTCTGTCTCTACTGTTCAATGCGTATGTGTATGTTGGAATGTTCAGAAGTTACAGTGGTGACACAATGCACACATTAGCAAACACAGACAAAAAAGTTTGAATAGATTTAATTTAATTTTTTCATTCATTTATAGAATGAAAACTCAAGACAAAATACAAAATGAATTTAGAGTTTGCTTAGAGCCTTTCCGGAATCTGCTGTAATCAATATGAGCGTTCATGGTTCGGTTAGATTTTCAACAAAAAGGTGGGAGTGAAATCAGCTCTTTCTGTTCAGATTGTTTTAAAAATAAAGCTCAGATCAAAGTCTAAGAGCTTCAGACAGAGCAATGCCTACAGTTAGCATCACACCCCCCCCTTTCTGTGCATCCAAGTAACACTTCTATTTTCAATCCAAATGCATGTCTGCCCTCTAGTGGTTGGCACATAAATTGCTTTCATACGTGACCAAATAGTAAAGACAAATTTTCAAAATAACAATGCATTTTGGGTGATTTCATTACTAAATGTAATTAAAGAAAAGATTTATACACAGCTACATTTATTATCATTATATGTAAATCACAGTTTGTATAAAGAGCACATTTTACACAGCAAATCTATCTTATAGCATTGTTTCTCCCCAGTGTACAAGTCTATTTATTATTTAAAGCTGGTAATAGAGTGTTACACATTACCAGCATCACTAATCTTTTTTAGTATCTTCTGGTTTAGTTCATCTTAAACCCTAAAAAAAGGGTAGCCTAGAGATGCACCAATATGGGGCCAATACTCGATCCAGCCAAATTTCCTGACTCGTTGCGGATATCGGAAACCAGTATTTATATCTGTGCATCCCCTGTGTAGCGCTGGAACTTTATAAGGACTAAGGACTTTGTTTAGTCAACATGGTCCTATTTTTGTCCTGATGCAGGTTTAGTCCTGTCCCTCACCAAGTTTAGTCCTGGTTGAGTCCTCGTTCAGTCCTGTCCCAGACAATTTAGTCAGTCCTGATCCAGTCCTGTTCTAGTCCTATGTCAGACCCGGTCTAGACCCGGTCTAGTCTCGGCCCTAAGTCTCGGCCCTAAGTCTCGGCCCTAAGTCTCGGCCCTAAGTCTCGGCCCTAAGTCTCGGCCCTAAGTCTCTGTCTAGTAGTCCTGGTCTAGTTCTGATTCACTCTTGGTTTAGTTCTGGTTTAGTTCCCGTCTAGTCTCGGTCTAATCCTGGTCTAGCCTCGGTCTAGCCTCGATCTAGTCCCGGTCTAGTTTCTTTATGGCGTGGCTCCTCTCAGCAGCAGATAGAGCACAGATACAGCTAAGGCACTGGCAGTATAAACCACCACAGCATTGTACACCACACTGTCCCTTATCTTCACATGCAAGTTTCTCTGTGATTCTTCCAAATTTCTCACCCAAATCTCTTCTTTTAACGTTTCTCCGGTTAAAATTTCAACTTTCTTTGTCTTTTCCGGTTTTGCAACAACTTTGTGTTCACTTACAACCTTTTTTACAATTGTCACATCATTTTGTACCAACTCCAAGTTAAGTTTTAGTCCGTTTAAACTATTTTGAACAAGTTGCTGTCCCTCTTGGAGATGTTGCAATGCAGAATCAAAGTTTAAGGACACAATATTGGGTGGAATTTGTGGAGTGGTTTCAGTGTTTTTGTCATTGTTTGTGAAGTTGTGCAGAGAGAGCCTCATCTGGTTGATAAGAGAGCCTAGTTCATCTTGCTGCGTTCGGTGGTTCGTGGCCTGGACACGTAAAGCTTCTTGGAGGTTTTCTGGTCCCTTCTGAGCTTCAAGTAACAAACTCTTAAGTTCCTGAAAAGAAAAAAAAATAGGTTTGAGGAGGAGAGAATTCAAAACATCATACATGCTTCTATTATTGGCTGCTTTCTCATAGGTTTAGTCCTGGTCTGGTTGCTAGTTTAACTGGTAGAATTTGGTGTTTTTGACACTTCAAGTGTGTTTTTAGATTATTTTAGGATTCTAATAGTATTTCTATGCACTAAAATTAAATAAGACATACTGTTCTTGTATCTGCTTTATAATGTGGACATTTTAAATTGCAATATTCATCTATAATGACTTAATTAAAAAATTAAAAATAAAAATAAAAACACCCGTGCTCAGTGAGAGCTGATGTAGCCTTAAACGTCATAACAACAAAGAGCCGGTAACTCTGATGGATAGCTGTAGCATTAAACTAGCATTAAACAATAAACGGCAATATGGCGTCTTGAAAATAAGCAATAAAAGATCGCTCAAAAATGAATGAATCACTCCAAATACAACTTCAAAAGGGCAAATGAGAAAAGATAACAGCTACAAAAAACTGTAGTCTGCTGTAAAACCTGATTGGGGATCTTGCATTTAAGATGTGACCTGGGAACTGAATCTCATTTTTTATTCATGTCAGGCTGAGAAAACACATATTTGTTTGTAGTAAGAGTATGGTTATAGTATTTTCGATTTAACTTGGTCCTAATAAAGAAAAACAAAAACAAAAAGTCTAGTGAGATATACATATAATAATTATATAAATATTCTATAACATACAAATCGCATGGTATACGACTACTACTATAGTGGCAGCTCTCTGTGTCTGTGTCTCTCTCCCTCTCTTTCTCTCTAGTAGAGAGAGGGGTTCCATTTTTGTTGGAGTTCCATTTTTTATTGTTTTTTAACTGCTTTAAATTGCTCAGGGATAAATAAAAAATTCTATTGGGTGATTGACAGTAGATACTGGGACATAACCACATCTATGATACTTCATAAAGCAGAAAAGATAATAATGGATATCACCTCAATTTAACAAATAAAAAACTAAACTAAGCAAACCACCTCACCTGCAGTCTGACCCTATTGACGTAGGTGGACCCCATGACCCCGATGATGGCGCCGAGCACCGACCCAATCACAGACCAGTTCTTGGTCCGTTCGGCTCTGGTGCGCTCCTTCTCGTGGCTCTCTCTCACCGCAGCAGAAAACAAAGCAAACTTCTCCCTTTCAGACCCCTCTGCCAGCTCATAGGCTGAGCGCAGCCTCCGGTCCTCCTGGAAAAACACAGAAGGAGTGAGCTCCCATAGTCCTGGTCCTGGTTTAGTCCTGAGTCAGGCCCTCGTTCAGTTCTGGTTAAGTCTTTTTTCAGTCCTGGTTCAGTCCTGGTCCAGTTCTAGTCCAGTCCTGGTACCTGTAGTAGTTTGTGTTCTATGGTGGCCAGCTCCAGATAGTGTGGCTCTTCTCTGGACACTCGCTCCAGTCTCTCTCTGACCTCCTTCAGTCTGAGCTGCAGTGCCTCCACATTCACATGAGCCTCTCTGACCACCGACCGGGACACCATGAAGTCTGCCTCAGCCTAGCAGACATAGAACAGGGGAAAAAATACTTTATGAGCATATGACTGGGTGAAATTACACTTTTCAATAGTTAACACCATAACACTTAACTTAGACAAATTTTATTGATCCACAAGAGAAACAGTTTGGATGCAGTAGCTCACACATCATTATATTATAATAATAAAGAGCAAAAATATAAATTGTATTAATAAATTCTAAAATAACAAGAGACTTGTGCCAAATAAGGCATAATTATATAAATCTATATGTACAAGTAAAAATGAAATATAGAAGTATAGTAATACAAATATATCTCAGTTATGTACAAGAAGTCGTAATCAGAAAACAGTGCAAAGATAAAATCATGATTGACAGGTAATAGGGTTATGTGTTACATAAGGGTGAGTTGTTGTTGTTTCAAGAGGTTTCAAAGAGGTAATTCCATAACTGTTACCAGGCAACTGTAATGTTAACAAAGGCCAAAACTAGTGTAAAAATGGCTAGGATTAGACCATAATTAGACCATTTAAAAAATGCATTACTTTCAACAAAATAATCTTTAAAGTGACAGAAAAATACTATCCTTGTGCATAAATTCTCCCTACATTTTGGATGGTGATGACATAGATAGAGGGATAAATTTTTAGAATTCCCCATTAGACCAATCACACTGTTCCTTATACCTCAGACTCCACCCCTCCTCTCCCCTCACTCTCCCATTTAGTCCTCCAAACACATCCCAGTTTAGCAGCTCTATTTAAAATGTGGTTGTGGGAGGAGTTTAGGCATTTACTTTAGTCTTATTTTAACTATCTATTTATCTATCCATCTATCTATCTATCTATCTATCTATATATGTATATATATATACATATATATATATATATATGTATATGTATATGAAAAATCAAGTGTTTCTAGAGTGTACTGTACTAGGTAGATTTTTATTTTGTGTGTTGCTCCATTTTATCCATATCTGACCTGTGTGACTTTGGTCTGCGCTTCCCGGACCTCGTTGATTCCCACAAACTCTTCATATTGACTCCACCACGAGTTCAGAGTCGAGCTGAGCGCCTGAGATGAGCTGTGAGCCCACTGCCGACCCAAAGCTGCTGCACTCTGATGAGACAACATTAAATTGTACAATTCTTTATAAGTCATGCTCAGTTGACATCATAACATCCTAGACTATCTATAGTTAAAATTGAGTTGGAGAACTCTGTGGTAGAGACTGCAGATGTTGACCCTAGTTTGTTATACTGTAACCCAATCAAAATTAAATTCTCATTCAACCTGCAAATCACTACCAAAATAGAAGTTATCTACACATGTTTTTACCTGTAGAGTGGTGAGGGCCTTCTCTTTGACAGCCTCTGCTCCTCTCCGGTCATTTCCTTCTGGAGGTTTGAGGTTTGGGGCATCACTGTAGAACCGTACTACAGTAGTGAGGGCTGGTCTGGAACCGTTCACAGAGAAACTACGGGATAAAACGCACAACTGGACCCCTCTGTATCTGAAAAATTTAAATGTGAAAAATTACTGGCCTTATTAACTGATAGAAAGTGTTTGAATTTATGAACCAAATAATTAGGCAAATGAACAATGCTATACTCCCAATATCACTTTATGTAAGTTAACAATACATGACAAGTGGAAACAAAGAATAACCTTATATGAAACTTAAAGATAAATTAACTTGATAATATTAACATCAGAAATAATAACATCAGAAACTAGAAAAGCACTCAGAGAGCGCAGACCTCCGCCAAGGACTACAGTTCCCCTCATATTAATTGTGTTTTCCATAAATATTTGTCTCGTATCTTTCAATTTGGAATGAAAGAGGATCCCATTGTCCATCCCTGAGTCAAATTTCATGGGGTTTGGTCAATAATTAACCGAGATATTGAGAAACAACATTTTTGGCCCCATTTACCACAATGTTAACTAAAATTTCAAAGTGATCCAGAATCCAGGATTTCTTCCGGATCACCCCCAAAATGAAATCAGTTCTTCCTTTTCACATTTCCAACAAATCCTGAAAATTTCATCAAAATCGGTCCATAACTTTTTGAGTTATGTTGCTAACAGACAAACAAATAAACAAACAAACAGACAAACGCCGGCAAAAACATAACCTCCTTGGCGAAGGTAATAATAAAATCAAAATCGAGAAACATACATTTTAAAATCTTTTAAATCAACTAAATATTTTGTGCTGTACCTCATTTGTAATTATGATTTTGAGAGGATGAAGAAGAATTGTTAATTCACTTCAATATTGGTCCCTAAAAATAGACAAACACACTGATTATAAATGACCAGGTTATGGATAAATGCCGTGACATATAACAACAATAAAAAACAACCTTTCGAAAGAGATCCAGGAAGGTGACAGTTCCAGATAAGATTCATTTACGATTAGCCATTAGCTCAAAATATTTACTCTCAGATTCTTTCTACCACATTGGATCACATTTACTCATGTGTTACCTACTCCGCTACCCGTTTCACATATAAACATCACATATCCTGCAGCTGTCATGTCGTTTTTCACAGTTTGTCGAGGCTAATTTGTTAGCATCCACATGACCCACGATGAACTGTTTATTTACACTCAGGCACGTCTGTATCGTACTATTTCCGGAGCGCCTGGGGTCCTGACGGAGCGATTTGAGCATGGCTCTATTAGAGTAAGAGATCGAGAAGCACGACGCCGGTGGCTGTTGTATTGCTGGGAGCTTCCCTTATTTTTATCTGAAAACTACACTGAAATAAATCAAATATGTCCGGAAGGGAAGGTGAGGTGTAATTGCATTTACTGACTCGTTAAATTTGTGCTGAATACTAAAATGGCGTAAAAATAACGGGTATAAAAACCGGGCGTTACGGATTTAGCATCATTTGGCTAACGCAGGCGGGAGATGTTTAGCATAATGTTTTTTCTCTATATTTGATCAAATTGTATTGACATGACATTTGTAATATCTTTTCATATAAATGGACGTGGTCTGGATACTGGTTTAGTACAGCTCAGGCGTTCCCAGTGAAACAGAAGCAACGAGACAAAACACAGTGTACATTATGCTAATTGATTTTTCAGTTGATGCGTTTAATTGTTGGTGATGTGGGAGAGATAGTGGTGGTAGTTTGGTTCTCCATGTAGTTATGATTAAAAAGGACTTATATGATATACATGTAATCATTATGTGTGTGTTTAGGTGGTAAAAAGAAGCCTCTGAAGGCCCCAAAGAAAGCATCGAAGGATATGGACGAGGTGGGTATTGGCTGAGTGGCAGTGCAGTGTTAAGAGCTCAATTTAATAAAATTAGAGACAAATCCAGATTGACTGCTGCTCAATACACAAAACTGAGATGGTACACTTTGGCCTGTCACGATAATTTCTGTATTGACTTACCATTCAATATATGATGGATAGATCAATAATTTTTGAGGGTGCTTTTTGTTTGAACTAGTGGGAAAATGTTATTGTTTTGTATGTATTATACTGAGCTGTAGAGGGTACAATTATGAACTTCTATCATCATTATAGATACTAACTACTTAAGTGTTGCATTCTGTGATTTATTTGCCTTTAGCTCATATTTTTTAACCATATTGTACATTGTGCATTTAGAATACTTTTTGGGGTTAATTCTGCTTTATGGTTTGGTTTCAGTATTATTGTTTATCGTCTATATTTAACTCAGAAATATATCGTCTCACAAAATTTGTTATTGAGACAGGCTTAAGTTCACCTCGGAAGAGTTTGTGTCAACACTGTCTGTTTGTTTCAGGACGAAATGGCTTTCAAACAGAAGCAGAAGGAGGAGCAGAAGGCGATGGAAGCATTGAAGGCCAAAGCTTCAGGGAAAGGACCTTTGAGTGAGTCACACCACTGTTCTATATGTATATGGATGTAGTTAAGTCTCCTGCCCAGGGTCACAGCCACTGCCTTGTTATGGTAAACAAGGTTAAATTAGTCCAGTTCAGTTTATTTGCCATATGCAGTAATCAAACCACATTGGGGGGAAAAAGGGTGCAAGAAGCCCAGAGTGCACAGCATTTCTTCACCCATTCAAAAGAGCCATAAAAAAAATAAACACAAACCACTATAATATAAACATGAGTCAAGGATATACACTATCAATACATAATTTAGCAGGAAATGTACAAAATAAAGTGTCTGTTGTTTAAAGTGATCACAGCCTGTGGGAGGTGATTTACTGTAAACTTCCACACCTGCATATTATCGTACTGGCTGGGATGTCTATATAGTAGTGAAGTCCAATATGAAAATGTACAAACATTTACTCTGAGAATAAAGATGCAGAGTGTAGTAGAGGTAGACAAAATGGCAAAAAGTCATAATCTTAGATGCGGGGCAAGAGCCACATTTCCCTAATGATTACATTGTACTTTGCGATTAAATATCTAATAGGTAAATGTACAATTGTTTTTATTAGTGATTCAACTTTAGAACTCACTATATTACAACAAACATTTGCATTTTGAACACCTGTCCCCAATCTGTAAATATTATTGGCCTAAAGAATGGTGTGCTCATCTGAAACTCAAAAACTGGAAGAATCCTTGAATATAGAAAGTCAAATAAGGGTTTAAGCATTTACTATTTGGTTACATGCCTCCATGTATTAATATATTCAACTTATATATTCATTTGGCTGAATTAAAATCAAACATGGAAACTGACCACAAAATACACAAATCCCATCTGCTATTTTGTTCCTAAATACCTTTTAAAAATGCCCTAAAGATTGTATTGTAGCTGTTGTTGCCATTTTAAGATCTTAAAATCATGTATGTATGTATGTATGTATGTATGTGAGCGAGCATCATTTTTGTGACTTCAGTACATCGCTCAGGTGTTCGAAAGGAGTAGGTAGACTGTAGAAAACTTGTATTTTCCTGCCCCTTATTCCAGAAGTTATTAGTTTGCAGACATAGCACACATAGCAGCTTAGTTTAATTACAATTTATATAGTATATAGAAATATTTGTTATATGTTGTTATATGTTTGTTATATGTCTTAACAGCAGTACAAGAAGGTGATATTGGTAATGATTCACAAAAGCACCCAACAAAAATATATAGTGCAATAGTATTCAGTTCAATAAACCTAAATGATCATGATCTACATATTTTTAACATAAATATTTTTTTTAATTCCTTTAAGACAGTACAGGCTTTTATACTTTCATCTAAATTGTTCCAGAGGTCAACACCACACCTTGAAATACATTTTTACATTTTCTTCATAGTTGGGTGATACACAACTTTTTTTTTTTAATTTAAATTCATAATTCCTCTCACTTTATACCCATCTTTTCTGTTTCTAAATAAAGATTGAAATCCTCTGTTCTTTTGCAGCCGCCGGTGGCATTAAGAAATCAGGAAAGAAGTGAACTCTGGATGTTTTTTTCCCTCACTGTGTAACTTGTCCTCCTCATCAAATGACCCCTAACGAAGCAAGACGTGTGACCAAACACTGCAAATGAGAAAAGTCACATCATTCAGTTCATATCCGGTGTAGTTTTATTGTAAAGAGAATGGAATAATAAAGATTTTTTGTAATTAGTGTTTCTATTTTTTTGTCTTGTTTATTCTATGTAATAAATGTAAGCTTTCTTTGGTGGGAGATTGTCTGATAAAAATACAAATTGATAAAATACTGTTGTTGAGCTGAAAATGAGACATATGTATCTTTGAATAAGAACTGAATGAGTGTTACCAAGCCCAAACAGATGACATATACATTGAAATATTTGCTGTACTGTCCTTAGATTAATTAGAGCTTTTTCTTTGGTCTTTTTTTGTTTTTGTTTTTTTTTTCATTCAGGAGCCACACTTTTACCCATGCACACACATACACTCTAGGCCTGCCATACTGGATGCAAGGCAAGTGTTTTTCCACATAAAATAAAGATGACGGATTAACACAATTTTGTTTAAATCTATGTCGATATATTTTGTAATATCTATAGAGAAAGTTACTTGGCTATTAATGGGCCAATAATAGTTGAAACAAATTAAATCCATTATGTAACCATTCACTGTAAATGTTCTGAACCCAGAACATAAGTCTAAAATGTGAATCTAACAAAGACAGTTTATTATACTATTTTCTGATCTATTTTATAATCCTCATCACAAACAGACCTGGAGTTGTGTTTTTGTTTCATTCACACAAATCCTTCATATATAGGCTGTTTTCTTCTCTCAGACTGAAAACACTCTGTTCCATGTTATGATGTCAGGTGGAAATACAAGTGCTCCACTAGGTTTTTAAAGTCCATACACCTGCGCTTGAATCATTTGGATCATTTTTGCCTTGGAATTGTCAATTTCCTTGAAAGAAAAATTAAAAGGCGCTGTTAACTTGAAAACTACCACTTCATGACCTCACAAGGTGGAACAGAGCATTTTGAGCTTTAGAGATCTAGACAGATTAATAATAAAGGGTTATTCAAACATGTGTGAAGGAAAAAAAACACAACATCAGGTATATTTTTTATGAGGTAACAACATTTTAATATGACTTAATGCTCACAAGAGTCAATTTTGCCTAATGTAGCACCTTTAGATTAAAACTTAATCAATGTTTTTCTTTTTCCTTCAGGCGGGATTTAAGCCGCTCTCTTGAGGTCCTCACAGGAGACTTTGCCGCGGTGCACTCTGGGCTCTTCCTTTCCATCCCAGACTCGCTCCTGCAATCATGGGTATGTCTCACGAATATCATTAAAATCACGAAAATAATGTGTCTGTGCGTGTGGATGTACTCTGATCGGACTTGTAATACATTGAAGTCTGTAATCGAGTTTATTTGAAGAGGTTGAAACGCACCCGAGGCTGGAAATGTACATATTTAGTTTATCGGTTCGCCGCAACGTGGAGCGGCCATGACTGCGTGTTAGCCATTTTAGCTTAGCACGGCTCCTGATTTAGTCTCGTTAGTCTTGTCTTGAGTGTACATTAAGTATCTAACCTGTCAATTAAACCACTACTGTATTGTTGCATCTAAAACTCCGTTGTTGAGTTGTTTAGTTGGTTGCTTTTAATTTGACTGTCGGGATACGTATTTGTGGCAGTCAGAACAATGTGTTTCATGGACAAAATCAATCTGTTATTTTTAGAACAATTTGAGTTCATCTAACTTGGCTGCATTGATATCCTATTTAAGATTACAGTGATGCTCTGCAAACCATGTTTTTAAAATGTGAAGCGAATTACTGTAGTGTGACAATTTCCAACGCAGAAACAGGCGGATTGTTAACATGCAGTTTAAGACAATTGTCATTTGCTTATTGGTTGACCGTAAATTTAATTATGTAATTGTAGAATTAGACATGAGAAGATTTTTGACATAATTTGGTGTTTTCAAGGATTGTACTTGATGTTGGGTTTGTGTTTTAGGAAAGTGTCGTGGATTGCGTACGGCTCGTAAGCTCCGTAACCACCGTCGTGAGCAGAAATGGCACGATAAACAATACAAGAAGGCTCACCTGGGCACTGCTCTGAAGGCTAACCCCTTCGGAGGAGCCTCTCACGCCAAGGGCATCGTCCTTGAGAAAGTGTAAGAGATCAACTGCATTTCCATCAGAATTAAAATAAAATGAAAGTCCATTTCTCTAACCTTTTATTTATATCTTGTTCAGTGGTGTTGAGGCTAAGCAGCCCAACTCTGCCATCAGGAAGTGTGTGAGGGTCCAGCTCATCAAAAACGGAAAGAAAATCACTGCTTTTGTGCCCAATGACGGCTGCCTCAACTTCATTGAGGTTTGTTTGACTTTTTTTGCATCCGTTTCATTTGGCAGCATGCTGCTTTTGTTGAAATAAGGATCACCTCCAAAAATGTTAGGAGCTTTTGATATTCAAAAAGCCTTTTGGACAATTCTTTTATGCTCAAAACAAGCTATCTGTTTCTCAGGTTATTTTCTTTAAAATGTATTCATGTCCAGTAAACTTACTGAAGTATAAGAAACATACCAAGTTGAAGAAAGTATTGTTAGTCAAATATGATTTGCTAATTGCTAATGTCAAACCAAATGTCCCAAATGTGTGTCCTAACCTGATTTTGTTCCTGTGTGCTTGCTGTAGGAGAACGATGAGGTTCTGGTCGCAGGATTCGGTCGTAAGGGTCACGCTGTGGGAGATATTCCCGGAGTCCGGTTCAAAGTGGTGAAAGTAGCCAACGTGTCTTTGCTGGCTCTGTACAAAGGCAAGAAGGAGAGACCCAGGTCTTAAATGAGCTGAAGAAAAATAAATGTTTTCAATAAGAAATCTGTTGTGTCTGTGCTTCTTAATTTTGAAGGATTTGGACTGTTTTGATGGAACTCTGAACACATTAAATGTTCTGATCTTGGTGCTAACGAGATTAACATGCATAGATCTCAAACGTTACAGGCAGATGAGGCAAACACAAAGATGCATGAACGAATGCATGAACTTGGTCAGCTATTGGATCAGTACTGGTAAATGTAATCAATTATATCCGGTCCTAATAATTTGAATGAGCTCAAGTTTAGCATTTCTCATTAAAATCATAAGTGGTTTTAAAACTAGGTCAAGTAAAAAATGGTGCAGTTACTTGTTTTCCAACAAAAGTTAATGGGACTGTTGCTACAGTTTCAGCACTACTACAACCATGTTTCAGACGAAAGTGAAGGGACAACAGGATTATGTGGATATAAATCAAAACTATTTTATTATATTTTTAACACACAATGATTTTAGATTTTATTGGGCAACCATAGCTTGATTGCCCTGACTGCACACCGCTGCCAATAAACCCTTAAATAACTTCAGTGTAAACATTAGCACAAGAAGGACATTCTGGGCAGCACATATGTAATAATGCAACAATACAACAAAAGCCAGTTCAATGTTATTTTATTGGTGGATGTAGTTATTGTCTATGGGAGAAAGGTAGTGAGGGTAAGGGGGCGCTATTCATCAGCCTCACAGCCGGGGGATACAGGCTGTTGGTCAGTCTGGTTCTGGCCTCTATGGAACTGTACTTTCTACCTGAGGGCAGCAGGTGGAAAAGGTGATGAGCAAGATGGTGCCAGTCACACAGACCACGAGTTGTGTTTTCACCACTTGCTGGAGTGGTAAGGTCAGCCTTAGTGCAGCAGGAGAACAACACAAAAAATCCAAATGTCAGAACATTTCTGATGGCACAAATGCAGTAGTTCGCCTCCTCCTTGGCGCTCCTCAGTTTTCTCAAGTAGTAAAGGCGTAGTTGGGCCTTCCCACAGCTGAGGCAGTGTGAATGCCTCAGGATAGGTCCTCAGTCACAGTCACCCTCTTTACTACCTCAGTGCCGACAGACAGAGCTTGGTGGTTGTTTTGCCCATTTTTGTGGAAGTCCACAATAATCTCCTTGGTTGTCACCTGGAGGCCAGATGTCATACATCGTTCCTGTTGTCTTGTCAAAGTAATTTTTCTCCAGGCGTGCAGTCTTCTGATGAGCTTCATCACTTGTTTTTGAGTCCTCCAAAGACAGGTCCAATGTGCTCCTCAGCACCTGCACAGTCACAATATATAACATAGGGATCATAGAGTAAAAATCTGGTAAATTTTTTAAAGTTTTGGTATAATTTCTTTTCTCTCACTACTGTTGGAGGTTCTTGTTTCTCTGGAGATCTTCATCTAGAGTGGTGCTTCAGTTTAGATTAAGATGAATTTCAGAGTAACAGTAGATTACACAAACTGAAGGCCTTCTCCCTTGTGTTGGGCCAAGTCTCTTATTGGACAAGGCCTCATTAACCTCTTCCTTTCATGTGGGTGAGAGCATCTGATGGGTCACACTCTAGGAATGTTTTTGGCTCCTAAAACACAAGTTTAGTGTAACTTTATATTCTACTGTACCACATAGATTTAATCTGTATTTTCAGATAATTTACAGAGATCTGTGGCTCATCTGACTAGAGCTAGATATAAGCCATTGTAGTTATAGACGTCTGTAGTTGTAGCAGAGATGACAGTGACTGTGGATCCTAAAAGTGCAACAAAAGTGCAAAACACATTAACATTATTTCATGATTATTTCTCTTCTATTCTATTTCTGTTCTAACATTAGGATCAGGGCTTTCTCTGTTGGTGGTTCATTGCACGTTGTGGTACCAGGGACAGCTCCATCAGAGATGCACCTTTCTGGGAAAAGTGTACAACAGTCTTTAGTAATTAATACAAATATTACGTTAGTATTGCTGTTTACTCACCAGAACATGGTGGATCCGACTGGAACACATTTCTGAACATATAAATAATAAGACATATTAACTTACATAGCGGCTCGCCCTCAATCAAAGCCCTTTTTGTGGAACTAGGAAGAAAATTAGAAAAGAAATTAGAGCGCATCTGCACTCCTTCTGTGGGATTAATCCACAAATACTATAAAGATGTACTTTAGTTTAGGCCCTGCATTTAATGAACAACCATCCTGAAAAACAGAGGCTTTTGTGTACCAATAGGCTGTGCAAAGAATACTGTGCAAAGAAGCAAGTACATTGTTTAAAAAAAATATATATATATATATCACAAAAAAGAAAGAAACTGTCATGTCCCAACAACTGTTGAATGAGTGGACAAACACAAATCTCCTAATTGAGGAGAGGGAAATATTTCCTTCACTGAGGGATTTATTTGGAGTTATACTTTGGAGATGTAAACAGACTAATAAACCAGGATTACTCAAACATGTGGGAATGAAACAAAACACAGTTCCAGGTATATTTGCGATGAGGTAACATTATAACATGGCCTAAAGCTCACAGGAGTCAGCTTTGTGTAAAACAGGACCTTGAAAGAATACTGCAAACTCAGTGCACTTAGATGTGGAAATAAATTTGCACGGAGCAAAAACCACAAATATTTCTTGCTGGTCCAATCTGTTGATCAATCTGAGATCTGAATCTATTGTATAGTTGTTACCTGGAGATTTTTCATTATAATATATGTTCTTAGAATGTACACAATATGTATACTTTCAGTTAACTTTCTATGTATGGTACATAACAAGTATGTATAACGCTATTTCTGCTGATGACTTTTGATGGAGAAAATTTGCTGTGTTTTGTATAGAGGGAATATAAACCTGGATATGTGTTTTGTTTTTTGTTTTGTGTGTGTGTGTGTGTGTGTGATGTGTGTGTGTATGTACATGTGTATGTATATATAACATATATACTATAATGTGTGTATATGGGTATGTGTGTTTATTTAGATGCTGTATATATGTATTATATATGTATGTGTGTGTACATATGTATGTTGATGTCCATCAGTAGGAGTTTAAGAGTGGGGGGGTGGGGGGTTTAAAAGGGAGAAAAATGCAATGCTACCTGGAATATGTATAACTGCAAATAATAACACTTGAATAAAAATTTGATCACAAAAAAGATGCGGAAATAAATTCTAACGGCAATATCAGTTTCCTCAATATTAGATAGTGCTCCTTTAAAGAGATACAACTCATGTACAGAAGTGTCCCTTTAACTGGTGTTGGGGCCGATCCACTGCAGTAAAAATAACCTCGGTCCCAAAGCAGAGAAGCACGAGGCTGCTCCAAAACACGCGCGGAGGAAACTGCAAAACTGCACAACAACACACGCTCAAGGTAAGATACTTTAATAAACTTATACGGGGGAATAAGAGGTAATTTAAATTCTTTATTTCATACTTTCTTTGAGATGTTATCCATAAGCAGCCTAAGGTGCTTTTTTTTTTTCATCAAAACATACCTGGATCTGTGTTTCATCTCATTCATGGACATGTGGTCTATATTTAGAATTAGACTTGGGGTAAATAGGCCAATTAAATCAAAAGATCATGTTACAGTAATTTAGTACGTTTTAGCTCTAACTCTAATTTAAGTTGTGTGCAAATATTCTCTACTCTATCTACCACTGTTTACTTAGACAAACTATTATGGACTATTCATGCGCAACGGAGATTATGGAAACACAGTATTTCAAAATTATAATGTAAGAAAAGTTGCGTACGTACCCACTGTCTGAATATGTATATTTGAACAAAGAAGCGCGCCCACTGCTGGATAAATTTCCCATCACCTCCCAGGTAGAAATCCAGGCAGTGCCCATCCATGTTTTTAAAAAACAAAACAAAGCAAAAACGTAATGCATCTCAGTTATTATAGGTCCTATGTTACGCAAAATCGACTCTTGTGGGCTTTAAGACATGTTATAATGTTGTTACCTTCTCAAAAACAGACCTGGAGTTGTGTTTTGTGTCATTAACTCACATATGTTTGAGTTATCCTGTTTTTTGGGGCTGTACATTTCCAAAGCTCAGAATAATCTGTTCCACCTTGTAATGTCATGAAATGGTAGTTTTTAATTTATGTTTTGTAGAAATTGGCAATTCTAGGGCTGAAATTATCCAAATGATTCAAGTGAAGGTGTATGGATCTTAAAAACACAGCGGAGCACTTCCTGTATTACGACATCACAAGGTGTTGTGTTTTTTTGTTTGTTTGTTTAAATTTGCAGGATGTGTGTGTTAAAGTGTGTGAAAGAAACAAAACACCACTCCATGTATGATTGTGATGAGGTAACAACATTATGGCACAGATCTGAAAATAAGGTAATATGGGCTTTTTAAAGTAGAAGCTGTCATTTTTACTTAATTTAAACTGATTTGTGCACCAGCTGAAGTCATGTCCCCAACTAATTTCACTTTCCTTTCAGTTCATATAATTTTCCCCTCTAAAATGTGAAATTATACCAGAACCACTGTTTTAGTGTAGCCTGGTTTAAATTCTGGTTGAATCCTGATTGAGTCCTGGTTCAGTCCTCGTTAAGCCCTGGTTCAGTGCTGGTTCAGTTCTGATTCAGTCTTGGTTTTGTTGGTTCAGATGGATTTTGTGTTTGAGGGGGAAGATGAAGATGCAGCCATTCAGTTCATGATTCAACAAAGTCTCATCGAAAGCCGACCAAAAGAACTCCTGGTCCCCCACACCAGGTTTGAAAAGACCAAGATGAATTTAGTTTAATATTATGAGGTGAAATAATGTGTGCTGCTTAAAAATAGAAAAACTTGTTTTTTTTCCTCCAGCTGTGATGAAGATGAAAATCTGATCTTAACTGCAATAAAAAAAGGTAAGTGAACTATTCTGTGCTGAATTGTTAGCGATCCCGACTCACAGCAAGAAGGTCCTTGGATGTTCATTTTTCCCATCAAAATGCACAGTTAGCTCAGAATACTTGGCAGAATTGAAGGATGGGTCAAATGCAAAGGTAAAATTTTCTACAAGAACAATAAACTGTATCTAAATGGGCACCATGTCACTTTTCCAGTGGAGGGTGGAGTGACATACTTGTCTCCATGGAGATGTTATTGCTTTGCCTAGAATGTTCCACAGTATGGCATTTAACTTATCTCTCTTCCTGAAGACAAGCATATGGCTCCACAAGTCCAATCACAGGTCAGGTTTGTGGAGAGAGCACTATGTGCAGAGAGTACATGTTTTTCATTGTATTTTGAGCAATTAAAACAGCTATAACTGAATAAAAGTAATATAGACATTTGTATAACCATACTGTGGAATATTCCAGGCCAAAAAATATCATCTCCATGGACACAAACAGGTAATGGACCCCCACAAAAAAGTGACACAATGAACCTTAACCTTATCAAATATCTATGTCAGACCTCAATTTGTAACCAGCCACTGAAATGGTGACAGTGGTGCCAAGTCTGGACAGATCAAAATATGTTGTTGTGAAATGGCATCTGGCATAAAAATTCTGTTTGTAAGTTTCTGAATGGACACGAATAAACCCTGAGCTGTGATTGGTTGTTTTACAGGAAATGAAAAGCTACTCAGGACGCTGAGTATGAATCTCAAGGGTCAGTTTGACCAATCAGACGCTAGAGGATGGACCCCTCTTCACGAGGCTGCAGCTCAGACTAACCACAACATCCTTGAACTCACCATAAAAGGTACAAGCTTAGTCCTGGTTCAGTAATCACACTGTATTGATCTTATTATCTCATTTATGAACCTTAATGTTATTTAAATGTTGTGCAAACCACAAATTCTGATGTGAGTGATCAGAGGCTTTGGTGTAGCCATGACCTTGTTTATGACCTGGTTTGGGGTTGTGATTTGTTCCTGATATTGTTTAGTCCAGTTTCTTGTCTTCTCTGTCTGCAGCGGTGGGGCGGGGCTCACTGGAGCGCCGCTCTGTGATTGGTCAGACTGCTCTGCATGTGGCAATTGAGAAAGGGTTCATTGAAAACGCTGCATTGCTGCTAAAACATGGAGCAAATCCCGATGCACCCGACCAAGAAGAAGACACGCCCATCTTCACAGGTAATGTGTAACTGAATAAGCTAAATATTAATGTCTTAAAGATACTCAAAGCACTTTACAAACACAGTGCTGGTGCCTACAGCTGCAGACTGACAGGCTGTAGTGATGCTGCTAATCTTCAGCCTTTCTGGCCACCAACTGTACCAGCTAAACCCTAAAGGCCTTAAGGTTGGGGAACACTGTTCTATTGATAACTTTCAAGTGAAGTTAACTGGTGGCACTCAGTTTGAACTGCAGGTGAGCTGGGGCAGTAAAGATCCTGGACAGTGGGCCTCCAGCTTCTATTGCCATAATGTTATAGTCATGGTATATATTAATTTACCCCCCACTCCTCTCTCGTCTGCAGCGATCCGCTCAGGCCGCTCTGACCTTGTGGAGCTGTTGTTGAACTCCGGCTCCAATGTGAACCAAGTGGGCTGCCACGGCCGCTGCCCGCTGCATGAGGCCTCGAAGCTTGGTAATTCCCATCTGGTTGACCTGCTGCTAAAGAGTGGAGCTAGGCCAGACCCTCGCAGCAACTATGGACTCACCCCCCTCGCCCTTGCTGCTCAGGGCGGCCACCGGAAGGTGATAGAGAGCCTGCTCCGGAAAGGTGAGGAATGCAATCTCCCAGGTCACTTCCTCCAGCCAGTGCCTGTTTTTCTAGGTGTTCTTGAGCTATAAAAACACCTGTAACTGAATATTATGTAAGGTAAAGCTGTTCAATGTCACACTGTGGAACACTTGAAACAGAGCAATGACGTAACACACTAAAAATGTCTGGTGCCTCTCCTGGATCAATTCCACCATTATCATGCAGTCACAAGCTCAAAAAAGAAACTATACATGAAATAGAACACAAGAGCCACTGTCCAGACTGCAGGTGGAGCTCCCAGTTTTTTTTTATTCTGCTCCACAAGCCCATCTGTCTTTGGCAACATAAGTTTGAAGCTTTAGTACTGAACCTTCCTCCCTCTCCCCAGACACTTCCTCCTTGTGTTTTGTCTCTTCAGGAGCTGATGTCCAGTCCCAGGCCAATGACGAGGCGTCCATTTTGTACGAAGCGTCTGCGCACGGTGACCCAGAGGTGATCCGACTGTTAATGGAGTATGGAGCAGACGCAAATGTGCCCAAACACACCGGACACCTGCCCATCCACAGAGTTGCTCACAGAGGACACCTACAGTAAGTCAGAAGCACTGCAGGGCTTAGAACAAAACTGTATTTATCTTCCTATCTGACTGTTTAGTAGTTAGTACATTCTCAAACTTTAACCAGGGCTAATGCATTTCAAAACCAGGGTTTCACTTATAACATCTAAAGGTCTTACATTGTAGAAACAAAACAAAATTCAGCACAAATCTGTATAAAAATCACTACTGAAAATATCTAAAAATCTGTGCAAAATACTTTTACTTTTTACTCTTTAAGTACATTTTTAAATTGGTACTTTAATACTGCGCACTGTGTAACTTTTCTGGTGGAGGGTTCGTCAGATGCTTTTCTTCATCTTCATAGAGAAGTTATTACTTTGTCTGGAATGTTTCACAGTATGGTATTAAACCTTTCTATCTTCATGGAATCCAGACCAAGTTACAGGTCAGATCTGTGGAAATCTGTCCCCGCTCACAGTCTGAATGCCTGTTTTTCAAGGTACTTTTCTGCATTAGAAACACCTGTCATTGAACAAATGTAAGATAGAGCTGTTTGATGTCATACCGTGGAACATTCGAGGCAGAGCAATGACATATCCATAGAAACAAGGAGGTAACGGACGGCAAAAGTTACATAGTGCACCCTTTAAGTAGATTTTGTCATGTGACATTTACTTAAGTAACAAATTGAGTACTTTGTCCAGATCATGGGTCCCAGCCTGTTTCAAAGCTGCAACAATAGTCCGCAACCCAAACGGTCCATTGTCACATATCTGACCAACTACAGACCCGTGGCACTCACCTCCATCTCTGCCAAATGCCTGGAGACAGTGGTCACCAAACACAATAGCACATCACCTGACCCATACCAGTGTGTATACAAAGGGAACAGGTCAACTGAGGACGCCATAGCTATTGTGCTCCAACAATACTGGAGCTTTCAACTAAGCCTGTCACAATCATTACTATATGAACATATCCTTCAGTCAGTCAGTTTTTATTGTGTGTACATTTTCTTTCCACTACTGGGACATTTTTAGTTATTTTTTGACTGTAAGAGTAAATGTTTGAATTCATAACTTCTATGGCTATTTCCAGTGTTGGGCAGTAACTAGTTATAAAGTAGGGGAATACTGTAATCAGATTGAAAACTGAGTAATTAGATTACAGTAAAAATGTATGTTTTCCACGAGAACTGTGTCGTTAAACAGAAAAATTATAAATAGAAGCATGAATGTCCTCTTCTGGTGTCAGACAAAGGTCAGCTGTGAACCAAAACAACACAAGTATTGGTTTAAAGGTGTAACTGTGTAACTTTTTGGTTGGGGGTCCATCACCTCCTTGTTTCTATGGATATGTCATCGCTCTGCATGGAAAGTTCTGCAGTATGACATTAAAGAGGTCTACCTTTATTCAATTATAGGTGGTTTTATAGTTTAAAAATACCTACAAAAACAAGCATTCTGACTGTGAGCCTCTCCGCAGATCTGACCTGTAACTGCGTCTGGCTTGGACTCTGTGAAGATAGAAAGGTTTAATACCATACTGTGAAATATTCCAAACAAAGCAATAACATTTCCATGGAGAAAAGCATTTGACAGACCCTCCACCAGAAAAGTTACACAATGCACCTTTAAGAATAAAAATGCCGTTTCAAAGTGTGAAATGGGCAGGCAAGCTGATTGGACAGTCACATTGCTGTATGGAGTTTTTGTACACCAGCCAGCTGCAGAGACTAGACTCCAGTATTATGTGGGATCAGAGCCACCCCTTTAACTGTCTGTTTCAGGAGCTGCCATCGGGTTAAAGATGAGAGACAGTTTATGCCTGCAGCCATTCTATTTTTGAATAAGGTCACTTCGAATAGCTGAATAGTTTTTATCCATTATGTGTGTTGATTGTGTGCAGACGTATGTGTGGTTCCTCTTAACCACTGCAAACCAAATTTACCCAAAGGTACAAATAAAGACACCCTAACCTTAACCTTATCACCTGCACTGCTCACATATTGATGAGACAGGTCAGGGTGGTCGACTATAGAACTCAGTGCTACTTCCTCTGTATTCTTTTCAACTTTTTTACTCAGAAACTGCCACACACAAACTATAGTAAATATTTATCTTAAACCAAACCAAACCATAATGATTACAAAAAAACAGACAAACATGAAAACTCGTCATATGCAGATCTATAACAAGGTGTTTGTGTGTTCTTTTGGTGTGTGTGTAACATGTTGTGATTAAATTCAGTTTTTTGTAAGGGCTCTTCTGACCCTGATCCCTGTGACCTCCAAGTCTGAGGTGGCAGACAGTGGCATGAGTCCGCTCCACTCTGCAGCTGCTGGAGGACACACCCACTGCATAAAGGTGAGCTCCACCACACATTTACTCACCTTTACCTGTTAAATGATCAGGGATGTAGCAACCAAAACCTGCGAAAAAGACCCCAGCCCTAAGCAAGTCAAAAAGTTTAAAAATAGTTTACAATTTTTAAAAGTACTTACCGTCACTAACTAATATCGTTTGTCTTAATGTTTTTTGTTGGCTATATATAAAATGTTGAAAATAGTAAAAAAAAAATAAAGAAAATAAATTACTGAATGAGGGTGTGTACAAACCTTTGATTGACAGTAAGTGTGAAAAACTATAAGCAGTTATTGAAATGTTGTATATTGCTGCTGAATGAATGCTAATGATATGCCCATATTTTAAAGAGGGGGTATTTTACTTCTATGGGGTATTAACTGCTAACACATAACATATTTAGATCACTGTGTTACTTTGTATTGTTTTCAAAATGCTATATCCGCTATATGTATTAACATTAATGCTGAGTCCCTCCTCCCTTTGCTCTCTGCACTAAGTCACTCCCTCTTCAGAGCACTATCACAACACTGTGAGCGTGCATCCCGCTAATGAAACTACTGCACATCGCATCAGGTTTGTCAAGTTGCTGTGTACAGTTTTGTATCATGTTTGTGTATATTTTGTATCTTTATGTTGTATCGTCATGTGGGAGCATGGGTGATGTAGGCACAGAATGTTACAGTTAACCGTAAAGACGGTTTGAACATGCATGGATGAGATGTAAAACCTCTTGAAGCATGGCTTCAAGAGAACAATAGGGAACAATAACATGGTAGAAAGCTCCAAAATTTGATTTTGCTTAATACCCCCTCTTTAATAGAATATTCAACAACATGTTTTAATGATGTGACAGTGTAGCATTCATTCACACATGTTTAGCACACAAACCCTGCATATTTAGTTCTTCTAACATAAATACCATGTAACCAATAAGAAAACTGGCTCTTGCCCCCATCTGAGCATATGACATAATCACATTCTGAAATCGACACTTCAAAGCCATTAAAATGATTCTTGTCCTCCATTTCTAATTTCCCATGAGGCTTTGCTGGAAGCGGGATATGACCCGAACTACATGCTGCACCCGTGGGTCCGCCGTAGCTATGACGACGAGAGGAAGTCTGCCCTGTTCTTTGCCGTTTCCAACAATGACGTTCCATCAGCCCGAGCGCTTCTAGAGGCGGGAGCTATGGCCAATCAGGACCCTGTCAAGTGTCTCCAGGCTAGTACTACTGTTACTATGGTTACTACAGTCCCTGACAAAAGTCTTGTCGCTTATCCATTTTGTAGAAACAAAAGCTTATAACCCTGACTTTAAATTAATCGATTGGTTTTAGAAATGTCTCATATGAAAACTAAAACCCTCCCAAATTATGCTCAATAAACTAAAATAAATTTGCTTCACTGAAGAAAGATTGATCATTTAATGAACACAGAAAGGTCAGATTTTGGCAAGACAAAAGTTTTGTCACCTACAGAAAATTGAACAAATAATTTACTTCAAATACAAAAATATGTTGCATAACGTCAGTGAATGAAGTAGTGGTGCTGTGAGATCCATATTTAATATCTTGTATGACGTCCATGAGCTTCAAGGACGCATCCATGCAGTTTGACAATAATTCATACAATTTGTTGATGAAGTCATCAGGAATAGCAAAGAAAGCGTCTTACATGCCTCCCAGAGTTCATCAAGATTCTTTGGTTTTGCCTTCCATGCTTCCTCTTTCATTCTACCCCAGACATGCTCAATGATGTTCATGTCTGGTGACTGGGCTGGCCAGTCCTGGAGCACCTTGATCTTCTTCACCTTGAGAAACTTTGATGTAGAGATAGAAGTATGCGATGGAGCACCATCCTGTTGCAAAATTTTACCCCTTTTATGGTTGGGAATGTAAGAGGAGCTAATACTTCTTGATATTTTAGGTTATTGATATTGCCTTCCACCCTGCAAATGTCTCGCACAGCCCCATACTGGATGGAACCCCAGACCATGATTTTTCCGCCACCAAACGTGAATCTTGGATCCATGCGGGCTCCAGTTGGTCTCCTGCAATATTTGTGGCGGCTGTGATGTAATTCAACCGAGGATTCATCTGAGAAATCCACCTTCTGCCACTTTTCCAGTGTCCATCCTTTTAGCAGGCTGTGGGCCTTGGCAAATGCCACACGTTTTTTTAATTGCCTTTTGTTTAGTGCTGGTTTCTGTGCACTGATTCGAACCATGGAGGCCATTTCGAGACAGAATTCTCTACAAACTGTTGTGGTTGACACAGGGACTTGAGGTGACCAGGCCTGGTGGAGTCTGCTGCAGTGGAAAAGGGGCTGGCCTTGGATTTTCGAATCAACAAACGGTCCTCCCGAGCAGTTGTCTTGCGGGCTCTGCCGGACCTGGGCTTGTCAAAAACATCTCCAGTCATTTCAGATCTTTTTCTTATTCTTTGTACTTGACGCTGAGACACATTGAAGGTGTCACCACCTCAGCAGTGGATCTGGTCTTCAGCCTCTTGATAATTAACGCTTTGGTCTCAGGGTGGATCTTAGGCATGTTGTCAGAGGTCAAGTTGCAGTTGATGTGAAGGTCTGGTGTGCTGGGGTTCTTTTTATACACACCCACTAACTGATTGATCAGTAACTGATCACAGATGAGGCTGTAATCTAGGATTGGGTGCATCATATGACAAGACGACAAAACTTTTGTCTTGCCAAAATCTGACCTTTCTGTGTTCATTAAATGATCAATCTTTCTTCAGTGAAGCAAATTTATTTTAGTATATTGAGCATAATTTGGGAGGGTTTTAGTTTTCATATGAGACATTTCTAAAACCAATCGATTAATTTAAAGTCAGGTTATAAGCTTTTGTTTCTACAAAATGGATAAGCGACAAGACTTTTGTCAGGGACTGTATGGTTACTACATCTACTACTGTTACTGAGGTTACTGCTACTATTCTGCCCTACAAAGAAAAAATGCAGTTACTGCGCTGACTGTTAAATTGAGAAAAATGGCTTTAAAGTTCAGCTGTGTCTGTCTGAGCTACACTAATGAGTGTGTTATGTGTTACTGTATTATGAGGTAATATTTATCAATCACAACCATCACCACTGATTTAACCTTTGACCTCTGAATGCAGAGTGAAAAAACAGAAAATGAAGTGAGAGACTGAGAAACATATTTGGGGAGATTTTTTACTGTCAAAAACACCAACTATTCTAGTTTATGGGTTGAATTTAAAAAAATTTGAAAGTTTCAAGTCTGTATTTTGTTCCATTTCAGAATTAGACCTTAAAACTTGTAGCAGTATCTGTGTGTCATGTGAAATGCAGTAAAACAACAAAACAGGGCAGTATCTGAGTTTGAAGTCATCATTTCACAGACTTCTCAAAAACAAGACAGAGTTGAGGCATAAAACTTTGTCAGCAAATAAAACAGGTGATATGAAGGTGTTTTTTTTGGTTTTGACAAACTACTTACTGCATTTTTCCTTTGTGGGGCAGTATTTTACTACTATTTGTATTAGCACTAGTTTTGGTGGTGCGGCGTGATGGCACACACTTGTACTGTTACTGTTTTCCATAAAGAGTCTATATCACACAACTTGAGCTTTAAGCTTTAAATTTTAATGTTACTTCATCAAAACTAAAATATGTTTTGTTTCATTCACACATGTATATCCAAAGCTCAAAATGCTCTGTTCCACCTTGTGATGTCATGAAATAGTAGTTTTCAAGTCAATAGCTCCTTTTACTGTTAGCTCAGTAGAGATTGGAAATTCCAAGGTGGCTGAAATCATCCAATTTATTGCAATGAAGAAGTATGGAGTTGCTGTACTGTGATGTGATTTTAAGCTCCATACATCGTACCGTATTAGCACATGACATCACAAGGTGGAACACTGTGTTTTCTGTTTGAAAGAAGAACTCTAAATATGCAGGGTTTGTGTGTTAAACGTGTGAATGAAACAAAACACATCTTCAGGTCTGTTTGTGATGAGGAAACAACATGATGTCATGAATCAGAAAATAGCATAATATATGGACCCTTTCTGCTTACTCCTACCATTACCTCCATCCAGAGTTTCACTTTTACTTCTGTAAGTGTATGAGAAGTGTTACTGCTACTTTAACTTCAAATATTACTACTATAATGTCTCTATTACTAACGCTGCTTCCATTTGACAACACAAGTAAATAAACCTATTTAATGAACTACCCTGTGTGTCCTGTAGGTGGCGCTGCGTATGGGAAACTATGAGCTGATCCATCTGCTGCTGAGCTTTGGGGCAAATGTGAACTACTTCTGTAAAGTCAACACCACCCACTTCCCGTCAGCCCTGCAGTATGTCATGAAGGATGAGGCAAGTCCTGGTTTAGTCCTGGTTATGCTCATGGTTCAGTTCTAGTTTGGTCCTGGTTTAGTCTTGGTTCAGTCTCTGGTTTAGCCCACTGTTCAGTCCAACTTTAGTTTTGCTTTAGCCCTGGTTTAGTCCTGGTCCAGTCCTTGTCCAGTCCTGGTTTAGTCCTGATTCAGTCCCTGCTTTAGTCCTGGTCCATTCCTTTTTTTAGTTCTGGTTTAGTCCTTGCTCCGTCCTTGTCCAGTCCTGGTTTAGTCCTGTTTTAGTCCTGCTTTAGCCCTGGTTTAGCCCTTGTTTAGCCCTGGTTCAGTCCTGGTTCAGTCCTTGCTTTAGTCCTGCTCCAGTCCTGCGTCAGCCCTGGTTTAGCCCTGCTTAAGTCCAGTTATGCTTCTGATCCAGTCCTGGTCCAATCCAGGTCCAGTCCTTGTCCAGTCCTGGTTCAGTCCCTGTCCTCTCCTGCAGGTGATGATGAGGATGCTGTGTAATTTTGGGTATGACGTTCTGACGTGTTTCCACTGTCCGTATGGGAGCGGCTCTCACGTCCCCCTGAACTACGAGGGCTGGAGCGATGCTGTCATCAAAGACACTATGGTACTGGTGCTTCTGTCAGAATGTACAAATGTAAACAAAAGATCAATAGTAAAGGTGCACTGTGTGACATTTCTAGTGGCGGTTCTGCCAGCTGCTTGTCTCCATGGAAATGCTTTTGCTTTGTCTAGAATGTTACACAGTACAGATTAAACCTATCACGAGGGAAACAGCACTGCGCTACATTACAGTTCAGATCTGTGGAGAGTTGCCCCCATTCACAGAAGGAATTATTGTATTTTTCAGCAATAAAAACACCCCTAATGTATAAATAACATCTCCATGGAGACAAGACCAGAAAAGTTACGCAGTGCAACTTTAACAAAGAGTATGATATTAACTAATTGAGTGTGTCATCCATGTTTGTAGTTCTGTGAGGTGATGTGTGTTTCGTCACTCAAATATCTCAGTGGTCATGTGGTCCGCGTCTTATTGGATTACCTGGATCATGTGACCTTCTGCTCCAAACTGAAGGCAGTTCTGATGGAGACTGAACAGTGGCCCGAGATCTGTGCCATTCAAGGTCAGTCTGTAGAGTGTGTATAAGTAAGTACACTCTGTCGGTCAGTCCTGTTTGACTTGAGGGGTGGCAGTAGCTCAGTTGGTAGAGCATTCGCCCACTGATCTGAAGGTTGGCGGTTCGAATCCAGTTCTCAACATAAACATCTCAGGTTGAGTGGTCAGATCCACTGGTTGGCTGATGTGATTCCAGCTCCCACAGATGAATGCTGTCGTGCTGTCGTTGTGTCCTTGGGCAAGACACTGAACCCACTGTGTCTATGTACGCTGGTATATGGTTGTATGGTGTTCCTTGTTGTAAAGCGCTTTGAGTGCCTTGAAGGTAGAAAAGCGCTACAGAAAAATGTGACCATTTAATGGTTAGAGGGAATTTGGAGCCAGGCTCTACATTATGAATATGATTTTCAATGGATAAAATAGTGAGAAAAAATTGACTCATGTAGATGTTATTGCAAACATTTTAAGACCAAAATGACCACCAGGCTCACAGCAGCAGGTACAGAGAGAGGAACCATAGTATTCAAATGTAAGTCAATGGTTGCCTGGATCGGTGGGAGCCAGAAGAGCCCGCTGCCCACATGTGAGCTTCCTATATGGAACGCGGCGGCTTGCGTGTTAGCTGTGTCCATTTATATATACAGTCTATGGTCTGAAGTTAGCCCTGGTGAGGAGAGGGGGAACAGGTTTAACATCTGCTATCTACTGGTAAAAAGCAAATAAACATACAAATGGTAGCTGTAAATCATGTTTTAGTTAAATATGTTATACGTGACCATTATAAACATAACTCATCCCTGTGTTTCTCTCAGAAAACCCTCGCTCGCTGCAGCATTTGTGTCGTCTCAGAATCCGCCATTGCCTGGGGCGACTGCGGCTCCGATCGGCCACCTTCATGAGTTTTCTGCCGCTGCCAAAAAAACTCAAAGACTTCATCCTGTTCAAAGAGTACGAGCTCTACAAGGGCCCAAGCTGAGGGGCTCAGAGGAACAGTTATAATTCAGATTTGAATTGTATTTGTCTTCCCTGCATATTTCTGGTAATTTATCCTGGAAATTACAAAATCAAAAATACAAGGAAATCAGTTCTGGCTTTGTTCACACGCAACCCTGTTCTGGTAAAATGCAGGTAAATTTCGGGGTTAGGCGACATGTTTGAATGAGGCTCATCAACGCCTTTAGTCCCCAGTCCCTCGTCCCATTTTTTCACAGCTGCATTAAACGGTATAAAATAATGAGATTTACATAAAAACGTAAAAATTTAGTTAGTTTAAAGTGTCTTCTCTCTCTGGGTTATAATATTATCTAATGCCATTTTAAGGGATAAACACTATGTTGTATTATAGCAATTTTTTAAATCTATAAGCTTATTTATGTTCCTGTCCCACTAAACTGCCGAACTTTTAATACTATCTGAGGCGGTCACTCTAGTTTGTATGCTTAATGATTGTGTTAAAAGTGGTGTTGATTCTGACTATTGCACTTTAAAAGTACATGAATTTGACTTTACAGCTTTGGCATGTTTACATATTGAAAACTGCAAGTAGACAGTGTAACTTTGATACTGGAGCTCCGTCTCTTGCTTATCTCCATGTCCTCGTAGATGTCATTGCTTTTCTTGGAATGTTCCACCATATGGCATTAAACTTAAAACAGACCTATTATGCAAAATTCAACTTTTCAGAGCTTTGGGCACCACAGTTTTCTAACACATCAGCTAATTTATTTCTTTTATAAAAAAATAAATAATGCCTTAAAAAAAACATTCTTGCTCTCTGTAACTTGGCCTAGTGGCATCTCCCTTCTGGGATTTAGATGCGATGTGTTGAGGAACATTCCAGGCAACACATTAGCATCTCCCATCTCCTTAGAAACAAGCAGGTGACTGACCCTCCACCAATAAAAAGTTACACAGGGCTTCTTTAAGTTTTAAGAAATATTTCCAAAAATCATTCACCAAACATTCGCACTCAGAAATTGTCCATTGAGTTACTTTCCGAATATCTTCAGACCCCCCCAAAGAAAGAAGAACTATTAGACAACGATAATAAACCCACTCTTATCTTTTATTTAATTTTTTTTATTTCACTTTTTCTGATTTGGGACTTTCCTCAAAATCTGAACAAAGTGAAAGATGATTCGGCTGCAGGTTTGGGACATTTGTAAAGCTAAAATTGCAAAAAAAAAAATAAAAATAAAATAACATTTCACACACAATCTTGTCACATATGTTTAAATAGAGCTTAGAAAAACCCCAGCTGTAATTTTGGTTAACTTTGGTTTTGGTTTAACCCTGGTTTTTGGTTTTGAAAGGCGTGTTTTGAGAGGTGTGTTATGCAGTTTTAACACACTGCTCCTCATAGTTTAATGCCGCAAACTGAAATGTCTCAGCTCTAAACCTGAAATTCTTGTTCACTGTTTGTAAATGTCTCAAGTATCAGTGATTTCAGTGTTTTGAACCTAGTCACTACATTCTCCTCAGAGTAATTAAGCTGTTGAATACTCGTTATGGTCATGGCGACTGCAGCAGTGATACGTTAAAGCACGAAACAATGAGGAGCAGTGCGTTAAAACTCCAAGTTGTATAATGTGCTTATGTCATGGCTACAAACTGAAATGTCTCACGTGTGAATGTGAAAAGCCTGTTCCCTGTCTGTAACACAAGACAGTTAGCCACTGGAATTCTTAGTGACTGTGGTATAATAATGATTTGAGTAGTTTGGACTAGTCGAATGTATATTTCTTCTTTCAATATTATCACAGGATTAAACAAAACCAACTGGACTTAACTTTTTGAAAGCAATGTTTTGCTAAGAAAGTCCAGCTGGTTTAGTTTAATCCTTACTTTAATTCTTAATGTTATTTCTGGTTGTGTCAAAATTTGCATCTTTTTTCAATATTTATTTAAGAATATACATCAATTATTGCACTAGAAATAAGATTCCTACCTATGGGGTTGATTTTTTTCCCCTTATTTTAAGATAAATTATCCTGAATCTAGTCAAAAATGCCATGCTAGTCAGTTCAGTCTATACTCCCAATAAAAGCTTTGTAACTAAGTTAAAGTTCAACACTAAATAGACTTTTGTGAGCTTCAGATAATAATAATTTTAAAAAAGGAAATGTATATTAAGTGTACTGGATACATGTATAATTCTTGTGTTCATTAATCTGCTCGAAATAAATACAAAACAATAAAAATAAGTCTTGTTATAATGTTATTACCTCATCAAAAACATACCGGTTTGAGTAACCCTCAAAACGCTCTGTTCCACCGTGTGATGTGATGTAGTGGTCATTTTTTTAACTTGTTCAGTAGAGATGAGTAATTCCAGAGCTGAAATTATTACTGTAGTTTTCTCAGTTTGAGAGAAGAACTTATAAATATGCAGGATTTGTGTGTTAAACATGTGAATGGAACAAAACACAACTCTGGCTTTGTTTTTGATGAGAAAACTACATTATAACAAATATTTTTTATAGTCATTATGTGTGTTTGTGTGTCATTAAAAATAAAAAACATATTTGACAATGTGAATGAAAAGTAAACTCAGGATTTCATGGTGTCAATAATTGTGAATTATCGTTAAATTATGATGTTTTTCTCAATAATTGTAACACTACTATGAAACTCAACAGTGACCATCCGCCCCCCCCCCAGTTCCACAAGTAAATTTCTCAATCGTCCGATGAGGTTCATTTGGTTTTCCGATAATTTATGTTATTAGGTTCTTTTTTCAGACCATAGGTTTGTTTTCATACCTGACAGTTTCGACTGCTCACTAGCGCTCTTCCTCAGAGTGGTCACGTGATGTTGCTGTGACGTGTCTTGTCAGCTGATTTAAACAGGTTTTGGCACTGTCTTCCTACCGGTGGAGGCAGGACGACAGCGCCATCTGCAGTCAGACTTCCTCAGGACAGTATCAGGACAGTATCCCAGGTCTGTGTGAGTGAAAAATCCCCTTCGTCCCGGTTTATCGTCCCGTGGGCACAGTTTCCGTATTTCGATTGCCTCTTTAATCCAGCGACGATGTTTGTTTTCCTCTGTTCCCAACGTGTCCACAGGACTATAAACCGGGACAAGGGGTCTTTTTTACTCTCACACACCTGGGATACTGTCCCGAGGAATCGGACTGCAGATGGCGCTGTCATCCTGCCTCCACCAGCCAAAACCTGTATAAATCAGCAGACTGGACACGTCACAGCAACATCACGTGACCACTCTGAGGAAGAGTGAGCAGTCGAAACTGTCAGGTATGAAAACAAACCTATGGTCTGAAAAAAGAACCTAATAGCATAAATTTCTCAATCATTTTTTCCATAGACTTTTTGAAAAAGTTTGTACGCTTAGGGCTAATCAGCTATGTGGTAACTCATGACCACAAGACCTATATTTTAATTAAAATCTGTTTCTGAAACTTTATAAACCGCAAAGTTATTAAAACATTTAGCTAAATTTTGTGTTTTAAAGGAGTATTGTGTAACTTTTTCTGGTGGAGGGTCTGTCAAATGCTTTACTACACGGAGATGTCATTGCTTTGTTTGGAATGTTTCACACTATGGCCTTAAACATTTCTGTCTTCATAGAGACCAAACTAGACTGAGTAACAGGTCAGATCTGTGGAGAGGCGACCCCGCTCACAGTCAGAATGCTGAAGGTTTTTTCTAGGCATTTTTGAGCTGTAAAACCACTTGTAATTGAATAAATGTAAGGTAGGGCTGTTTAATGTCAAACAGTGGAACATTCCAGGCAGAGTAATGACGTATCCATAGAGACAAGCAGGTGACGGACCCCCAACCAAAAAGTTACACAGTGCACCTTGAAAGCGTATGTGAAATATTAATGGAAAATTTACTTCTGCAACTGGAGCGACTGGTCATTACTGAGCTCCATTTGATACTGTGACATCCCTGTGCAAAGGACATACCCTAACTGTCATAAATTGAGCTATACATGTCACATCTTCTCAAAAGAATAAATCAATAAATGTTTAAAAAAGATCCGCTGCTTGGTCTACTCTAGCAGTCCCTTATTTCTGGTGGAGTCATGTTTTAGTCCCATTTCAATTTACTGTAACATGTGGAAGACCAAAATGACCTTGATCATTTGTTATCCTACATCAGCTCTACGTTAGCCCTCATTTACTCCAGTGTAGGGTTGGGCGATAGGGCAGTATATTAGGGCTGTGATATGTTTAGAATTTTAATAGTTATTTTTAGGGGTGTCAAATTATCGCATTAATTGTGATTGATTAATTAATTACAGTCATACTTAGAGTGTTGTTTTTTAATCACGTTAATCTCATTTTTAATCTCTAACTTTACTGTTTCTGTACGCGAGTTGCCTTATAAAATCTGTTTTTATGTGTTGTTAGGACACAGTCCTGCACTGTGCATTCCTGCTCCGCTCGCTCCCGCAAAGAATTGTAATTTTCATTCCCGTTCTCGCCCGCATTTGCTATAAACCTGCACATGTTTGATCTCTGAAAACATCGTGACACAGACACAGAACAGACTCACCATCACCATCAACATCCTCTGTCACAGAGAGAACATCTATATTCCACTGAGTCATGTCCTTTAGTAGAAGCTGAACCGCATCAGCACAAGAGCGTTTTTTTTTTTTTTTTTTTTTCTTTTCTTTGCTTAGTTTATGCAAATGAGCCATGCGGCTTTAAGTTTCATTTCTGAGACTTGTGCAGAGCTGCTTTAAACACATTCTAATGTCAAATGGGCTGATGTGGCTCTAGAGTGGTGATGGTTTATATGTTGTAAAGTTGAGTTTATTTATGTAGATTGGTAATAGTAATAATGATGATACTTACATAAAAATGTTAATGATGAAAATGAAAATACCTCAAGTTGAGGGCTTTTCTCAGCAATTTTTAGGTGAGATTAAAAAATAGATTAATTAGATAAATTACAGATCATAATTAATCTCTCAATTTTTTAAATCACTTGACAGCACTAATTATTTTATATACATCATCAATGATATATTTGGATCTTTTTAATGTCAGTAAAAGTGTGTGGTTTGGAGCATGGTTCAGATTTTGGAGGAAGAAACTTGACCTATTTTCAGCTTTGTGATTATTACAAGTCTGTCTTGTTTACGTTCAGAAAATGAACATTGGAAGTCAGTTTTATTTTCTTATAAAATAGTGGTCAGTAAAATTTTGCATAGCCATATTGCCCAGCCCTATAATATTTAATCCCATTTTTTATCTGACCTTGTGTCTATCTGCTTATCCCAAGAGACGGTTTTATGATTTTGCACACAGACACACCCACGCTCTCTTCCTATTGGTCCGCTGTTGTCATGCTCCGAGTGAGTGACAGGTGGATTTAACCAATCACAGTAAAGTTTGAACATGTCAGAAGGAGACAATGGTTTAAAGGTAATAAAAAGTAAATCTCAAAAGATGCGTTGTGTAACTTTTCTGGTCTGTCAAATGCTTTTGTCCATGGAGATGTTATTACTTTGTCTGGAATGTTTCCGTTCTATCACCATGGAGACCAAACCAGACCAAGTTACAAGTCAGATCTGTGGAGAGGCAACCCCACTCACAGTCAGAATGCCTGTTTTTCTAGGTATTTTTGAGCTGTAAAACCACCTGTAATTGAATAAATGTAAGGCAGAGGTGTTTAATGTCATACTGTGGAACATTCCAGGCAGAGCAATGACGTCTCCATAGAAACAAGCAGGTGACGGACCCTCCACCAGCAAAGTTACATGCACCTTTCTAAGATACAAGTATTTCTTCACTAGTTAAGTATTACTAAAGAGAACCAAATTAAAGGTGCAGTTGCAGAGCATGTTCCTGTCTCCATGGCGATATTACTGCTTTGCCAGATTACACTGTCTTTGCCTTGAATGTCCCACCATGTGTCTTTAACCGTATCAGTCCCCATGGAGACACACCACCGAGCCAAGTTACAGCTCATGTACGCATTTGGAGAGCCGACACCGCTCAAGATAGTTTAATGCTATACTGTGGAACATTCTAGAGAAACCACTATGTCTAGTTTTAGTTCTTGTTCTTTTTTGTATATTTCTGCTCCCATGTGAAAAGACACTTGTAAACCTATAACTCTGTCTAAGGTTGCACTTGTACTTGCGAAAACCACTTCACTAATTAAAGGTGCACTATGTAACTTTTTGGTTGGGGGTCCATCATCTGCTTGTTTCCATGGAGATGTCATTGCTTTACCTAGAATGTTCCACGGTATGTTATTAAACAACTTTATAGCTAATAAAAAATACATAGAAAAACAGGCATTTTGAAAGCATTTAACGGACCCTCCACCAGAAAAGTTACACAACACACCTTTAAACAACAGAAAAAAAAATATGAAAATAAAAAATAACCACACCACTAGCAGAACCCAAAACAGTCCCAAAATGGCCGCCAAGACATCCTCTTTTTAAAATAGACTCTGGAGACGTTTATAGTGGACTTTATATGCTTTTAACAGTAAGAAAATAATATTCCACAGAAACATACATAGATATATATTTTTATATTTGATAAACAGTTAAGGCTGATCTACAAATCTCCTCTGCTATTGCTTTGAACACAACACCTGCTTTTAACTGGAAAGGAACATTTGGTTTTCACCCACGAATAGAAAGACAAAAGGGAAAGAAATGGGGGTCATGTGACATACAGGGAGAGAGGTGATTGGTCAAGGCTCTTCCTGTAGATTCTTTATGGTTGTATTGATAAAGTTAAGACTATATTTGTGAGGACATTTGAATGAGAGATTAGTGTAGAATAAAAATGTTAAGAATTTGGAAATGACAAAAAAGTGGTGGTAACTGGAACTAGCCAAGAAGGCAATACTAAATAAATGATTGAAGCAACTTGTAATCTTGGTCTAAGGTAGGACCAATTTGGAAAAAAAAATAAAAAATAAAAAAATAAAGATATTAAAAAAAATAAATAAAAGTCCAAAAAAACAAAATTAAATAAAAATTTGCCAGTTTAATCCCTTATAAATCCATTAAAGCTGATTTCGTCCATTCCAAAAATGTCTTCCATTAGTTAAATTTTGCCTTATGACGTACACATGTCTTCTTTATTACCTAAATTTTAAATAAAGGTGCATTGTGTAAATTTTCTGGTGGAGGGTCCGTCAAATGCTTTTCTTCATGGAGATGTTATTGCTTTGTCTGGAATGTTTCACACTATGGCTTTAAACCTTTCTATTGTCATGGAGTCCAAACCAGACCAAGTTACAGGTCAGATCTATGGAGAGGCGACCCCGCTCACAGTCAAAATGCCTGTTTTTCTAAGCATTTTTGAGCAAAAATAAAACCACCTATAATTTAATAAATGTAATAAATTTGCTGTTTAATGTCATACTGTGGAACATTCCAAGCAGAGCAGTGACATATCCATAGAAACAAGCAGGTGACGAACCCTCGAACAAAAAGTTACATCATGCACCTTTAAAACCAGCTGAATATTCACCCAAAATTTTTAAATAAACATAACCCCAAGTTTGAAAATGCAAAAATATGTAAAACAAAGACCCCAAAACCAGGAAATAAACCAGGACTAAAGGTCTAACTGGTTCAAAATCTGTTTTTAATCCAAGTGAAATTCAAGGTTTATTAGTCCTGGTTTAGTCTGTTTTTACATTGACAGTTGTTGGATTACACTCCCAAAAATAAATATTAGCGACTATTAAGTGAAGCAAATTAATATATAAAAAGCAAAATATAAAATGTAATATATGTATTTAAATATCACTGTAGGTAAGATTGTACAACATGTAAAAACAAGTTCCTTATACAATTCTAACAGTAACATGAAAATAATCCTATATATCAAATCTAAAAGTGCAAGTAACTTTAAAATTCTTCCCTTTAAACATATTTCAACACTCATTTTGTGCGTTTCTACCAATCTCTCAATTTAAATATTTTTGAATAAATGTGATTTTAAATGTCCTCACAAATACAGAGAAGTGTTTGGGCTATGGCTCTGACACAAGTGCAAAATCCTACAGGAGTTTAAGGGGAAAGACACAAGAGGCAGAGGCAAACTAAAGGCAATATACAAAAAAAAAAAAAACCCCAGCCACTGCCACTAGGGGTCACTGGAGCTTATCCCAGCAACTATAGGCGTCAGGCGGGGTATGATGGTTACAGTGGCCAACTTTAAAGGTGCACTGTATAACTTTTCTGGTGGAGGGTGTGTCTGCATTTTTGTTTCCAGGACGATGATGAAGTGCTTTGCTTAGGATGTCTCACAGTAAGGTGTTAAACTTTACTATCTCCATGGAAACAAGCAGGAGATGCCACTAGACCAAGATATGGGTCAGATCTGTGTAGGTGTGCGTATGTTCTTTCAGCAAGCAAAACACCCATAATTGTTAAGTTCCTTCTTGAATGTTAAGAGTTCTAAGTTTAAAGCCACATTGTGAAACATTTCAGACATAGTAATACCAACTCCATGGAGACAAGCAGGCGGTGGACCTATCCGAAAAGTTACATAATGCACCTTTAAGATATAATGTACATGAATAATTTAATGTCGAAGTCTGACCATTTCTACACATTATCAGTCTGGAAAAAGGCGGAATTTTGGACAAATCCTCAAATCTGATCAACCAAAGCATCTCAGCAGTGGTTTGAGCAGGGATTTCAAACTTTTGCAGAAAGAAAAGCAGCTCTGGCCTTTTTTTTTTTTTTTCTAGAAATAAGATATTCATATACTCATTTTGATTAAGTGCTTTGTTTTTGGTCCTATCTCAAATGAAGAAGTAGGAGAGATAAAAGATGAAATCACAAACAAAAAAAAACAGGATTCAACTTCTACTCAAAGTAAGTGTGTTGAATGTAAACTTTAAAATACGATTGTCTCTAAATGTAAAGACGAAACATGACTTAAATATGCAGACGGCATTTTTCAATTGATTTGAATTTGAGTAATTCAGTAGTATATTTATCAAAAGAAAAATTTAATTCAGTCAAATGGATAAACGTTTTAGAGTGAAGACATTTTACACTGCCTTATATCTGTCTGAAACTAAACACACATATTTGTTTACTTGTTTAAAGGTGCACTGCTCAAATTTCTTGGTGGAGGGCCCTTTGCTTGCTTGTTTCCATGGAGATGTTATTGCCTTGCCTGCAATGTTCCAAAGTACGGCATTAAATAGAAACAAGCATGAGACGCCACTAGGTCAATTTACAGGTGAGATCCGTGAAGAGACGATCCCACTCACAGTAAGAATACATGTTTTTAAAAGATATTTATGAGCAATAAAAACACCCATAATTGAATAAATGCATCTTATATATGTCTAATACCATATTGCGGAACATTACAGGCCAAGCAATAGCATCTCCGTGGAGGCATACCCCCAACCAGAAAAATTACACAGTGCACCTTTAAACATATCCATCTTGCATTTATTCATTCTGGGTGTTTCTATTGCTCAAAAATACAATAATTCCTCTCCACAAATCTGAACTGTAATGTAGCGTAGTGCTGTAACCAGCTCGTCTCCCTCATGATAGACAGGTTTAAACATTCTAGACAAAGCAACAACATTTCTATGGATACATCCAGCAGCTGACCCTCCACTAGAAATGTCACGCAGTGCACCTTTAAGTGTGAAACTGAAACTGTAAACAAATACGTGTGTTAGTTTCAATGTAGTTTGCTCCTTCATAGGCCTGTCACGATAACAAAATCTGAAGCACGATATATTGCTTCAGAGAAATATTACAGCAAAAAATATATATATATTAAAAATAAAATTTAAAAAGCAAAAAATAATCCTAGTAAACTATTAATATTACTATTTTTAAATACAATATGGTTAAAAAGCATGAGCTATAACAAATAAATGGTAGAATAAAGCAGTAATTAAACCAGGAGGCTGCTTTTTTAATTTTCTGCAGCTCAGATCAGCTCAGAAACCTCGCCAGTATTGCAACAAAAATATATATAAGATAAATACTAAGCTCCAAAATTGAAAGATAATAGATATAGTAATCATAAAGGACGGTACAAGATGTCGTGAAACAAAATTGCCACAAGATTGTGCACACAAGAGAAAAATTATCTTGTGAGATTTTTTTCAGTGTTTTTACATTTGGACTGGACAAAAAGGTTTACAATTTGCTGAGTTACATTTCTTACAGTTCCAAAAAGCATGGAAACAAAACTACGAAATGAAATAAATAACTAAATTGTGAGGTCAAAATTGGAAACTGTATTGTGAAATGTATATATTAGGATTTATTTTAAGACTTAAAATCTTCTTGTCTCGTTCTTGCGAACCCCATCTCTTATCTCGTTACGTCTCGTGGAAATTTTATCTTGTCCGATCCCTAGTAATTATTGTGACAGGCCTACTCTTTACTTAAAGCACTATGCACTATGTAACTTTTTTGGATGGAGGGTTCGTCACCTGCTTGTTTCTATGGATATGTCATTGCTCTGCTTCAGATGTTCCACAGTATGTCAAACAGCTTTACCTTACGTTTATTCAATGACAGGTGCTTTATTGCTCAAAAATACTTAGAAAAACAGGCATTCTGACTATGAGCGGGATTAGATCTCCATAGATCTGACTTGTAACTTGGTCCACTTTGGATGGAAAGGTTTAATGCCATACTGCGAAACATTCCAGACAAAGCAATAACTTGTCCATGGTGAAAAGCGTTTGACGGACCCTCCACCAAAAAAGTTACACAATGCATCTAAGGCAGATATACGTAAGACAGACCTGAAGAAACCACTTGAATGAGAGAGGAGATGTATTCACTGTAAAACTTTTGTCCAGCTGACTGAATTTAATTTGTCTTTTACTATGGATCAGACCTGGACAACTGAGGGATTACACAGACATCAGTAGTATAGTCATCAAACACTTTTTACTCAGGTCAAAATATTTAAGTTATACCTGAGTATTATTGTACAGTAAAAGCAATCTTACTCGAGTAACTTTTGGCCACTCTTGTCAACTCTGGCTCTAGTTGCTGAACATTGCAAGAACCAGGACACACTGAAGGGACTGCATCTCTCAGCTGGCCTGGGAACTCCTTGGGGTTCCACTGGAAGAGCTGGAGGAAGTGTCTGGGTAGGGGGAAGTCTGGGAGTCCCTGTTTAGACTAGAAAATGGATGGATAGAATATTAAATTTCTAACGTAGATTTTTCCTGTTGTTTGCATCTCCTCTTGTGTCATTACCCCAAAAACTTACCTTTAAATCTCCATAAAAATCTTTGTGTTAAAATAAAGAGACATTTCCACTGGACTCCACTGATAAAAACACAACATTGGACCGATTAAAATAGACTTTGTCAAGGTCCTCACATACAGAAGCACATTTGGGAGTCTTGGGTCATTTTTTTTTTTTTAGGTTTATTTGCGGTAAAAGAGTGGTGCTAGGGCATGTTTTCATCCCGGAGTTCTTCCAGGATGCCCACCAAGCTCTCGAGTCCGAAAACGTAGCCTCGATCTGGGCCGTCGTGAACCGCAGTGTCCCCCCGAAAGCCTTTGAACGTGGAGTGGGCGAAATCTATCATACGAACGTCCACAAGGGGGGCGTGGTGGTTGGGGGAGGGGGCAGAGTCTGGTGGTTTGGTGGGTGGGGACTGTGGGGCAGGGGGTGTGTCCTTTGAACAGAGGGTGGGGGCAGTGTCAGACGGGGCGTGGCCACAGAGAGGTTCTCTCTGATGCCATGAAGCGCTGTCCTGTGATTCCTGTGGATACAATCAGGTGTAAATTTTGTTATTCAGATCTAAACCAAGATATGATCAAGCTTAATTATACTTTAAAAGTCAGCAAAATTGACTCTTATGAGCTTTGTTTCATTCACATGTTTGAGTATTCCTTCATTAATAGTTGGTCTACATGTCCAAAGCTCAAAATGCTCTGTTTCACCTTGTGATGTCATGAAGCAATAGTTTTAAGTTTAACAGCTACCGTTTACCTCTTAGAGCTTGGTTTTCCAGGGGATGAAATTATCCAAATGATTCTAGCCAAGGTGTATGGAGTTTAAAAACACAGTGGAGTTCTTCCTGTACTACCACGTGACATCACAAGGTGGAATAGAGTGTTTTCTTTTTAAGACAGGAGCTCACTGTAAATATATATAGGGTTTTTGTGTTAAACATGTGTGAATGAAACAAAACTTCAGGTTTGTTTCTTATGAGGAAAAAACATAACAGAGATCAGAAAATAGCCCGTTAACTATTATTTTTACACTACCAATAGTCATTTTCTACACAATTTTGTTGCATTCAAAGCCATTCATTTTTCATGGTTTCTATGTTTTAGTTGCATACAGGTTAGTGTCACCTGATTGAAACTATAATACTGTAGCCACAGCAGCCCTGGGCCATGCTGACTGAAGTGAGCCTGCCAATCTGTGCCACTGGTCAATCCGACCACCACCAACACACCACTCCAATGCAATGCCTTGCTGAAGGACACAATGACAGTTGTTTTGTAGAATCTGTATAGTCTAAATAACGATGACTAATTATCACATCATCAACAATTATTTAAAATAGTCAACTAGTCACGATTACTCCAATTAATCATATAAATGTGCCCCGCCCTTTTACAGGTTTATACGACACCACAAACAAAATACACCAGGCCAGTTGCCAGACATGTGTTACACAGATAGATTTATTTAAAGCTACACTGTGTAACTTTTATGGTGGAGGGTCCATCAAATGCTTTTATCCATGGAGATGTTATTCCTTTTTCTAAGTATTTTTAATCTATAAAAGCACCTGGTAGACTTCTTTAATGTCATACTGTGGAACATTCCAGGCAGACCAATGACATATCCATAGAGACAAGTAGGTGTCGGATCCCCAACCAAAAAGTTACACAGTGCACCTTTAAACAAATATGTCTGCATCTTCTTAGAGGCTTTACAAAGAAATTATCGCAACTTATAAACATTAGAATTAAACAACCATTTTATCTTGGTGTGATCATTACCCCAGAACATATCAGGGCACTGGGAGAACATTTCATCAAACAAAGGATTTCCAGATTCAACATAGAAAGGACAAAAGAACAAAAAATAAGCTTCACTTTCCACTTCTCCTAACTCACACAAACCACAGAGCCTGTCTTTTTCTGGGGTTTGAAAAAGCCTCCCAGTTTCTAAGGCCAGGGGCAGGATTTCTGTGCGTAGCTGGGCAACTTACATTTTCTAATTAATTAGCCTTGTTATTTTATAATCATGACATTCCAAATAGCTATTTCTATCTATATCAACTTACCAATCATGATGCAGCTCTAAACTTCTAGTTTAGTCCCCATTTTGTCCTAATTTACTAAAGTTCATTTTGATCTCTTAATGGTGACATTGTGTAACTTTTAAGGAGGGTCTGTCAAATGTTTTTCTTCATGGAGATGTTATTGCTTTGTCTGGTGTGTTTCCCAGTATGGTATTAAACCATCTCCACTGAGACCAAACCAAGTCAAGTTACTGGTCAGATCTGTGGAGAGGTGACCCCGCTCACAGTCAGAATGCAGGTAGATCTGTTTAATGTCATACTGTGGATTTTTTCAGGCAGAGCAATGGCATAACCATAGAAACAGGCCAGTGACAGACTCTCAACAAGAAAAATTACGCAATGCAAATTTAAAAATGAATGTCTGGGCTCACCTTCCCCTCGTAGATGATGAGAAGGGAGGAGGAGTAGAAGCGGTAGGAGGCCTGTCTCTCGAGCACTGCCTTTAGACCGCGCAGTTTGTGGAGGATGGGTTCAAACAGGTCCCGTCTCAGAGTCTTTCCGTTGTGGAGATACTGGAACAGAGCCTCACGGAAGCCCTCAATGGACAAACCACGGCCATAGTATTTATTTCTGCAGAGGTAGTGCCCTGTGTTCAGCTGGTACACCTAAAAAAAATGAGAAAACGGTAAAGCGCAAGTGATATCAAGTTTAAGAGCCCATATGACACTATTCTCTGATGTATGTTCTAATGTTGTTTCCTCATCACAAACAGACCTGGAGTTGTATTTTATTTCATTCACCCATGTTTAACACACAAACCTGCATATTTAGGTTGAAATCTCTCAAAACCTTGTTATGTGATGATAGAGGAAGTGTGTTTTTCAACTCCATACACCTTCACTAGACTCATTTGGATGATTTCAGACTTGGAATTGTTAATCTTTGCTGAACTAAAGGTAAAAGGTAGTGCTGTTAACCTAAAAACTACCACTACATGACATTGCAAGGGGAAACAGAACATTTTGAGCTTTGGAGATGTAAACAGACTAATAGTAAACTAATATGACTTAAAACTAAATCAAATCAATCAATTTTGTGCAGTACAGAACCTTTAAAATCTGTGGAAATCTCTGTACGTATCGACAAAGAAATAATACACCCAGACAGTTATCTTCAAGGCTGTTGCATTAAATAACCTCCAGGGGGCAATCAAAGTCAATATTTACCAAGACTGAAGAAAAGGAGAACTGTACACAGAATAGAGTTTTAGCATGTTACAGTTACACAACCTCCTGAGGTGTTCCTGAAAGGTGCTGCTATGTTCTGTAGAAATGATTCATAAACGCATCAACCAGCTCCAAAACATGAATGTGTGAATCAAACAGTGTTTTACAATTATTAGTGCGAGTTTTGCAATAATATCTTCAAAAAAACAACCATGGCACAGAGCTACTCCTCTCAGTGGTCAATATAATGGGGACAATTTGCCTTAAGATTTGTATAAAGTGTAAACCATTATCTGTTTACTGGAGTATCTTTCTTCGGCATCTTAACTACATAAGGACAAGGTCTTCTTATTTGATTCAGTATCACACAAAAAAATCTTCTGCTTTTATCTTAAAGACAGACTATGTAACATTTCTGGTGGTGAGTCTACCACTTGCCACCATGGAGTCTACCACCTACTTGTCTCCATAAAGATGATATTTTTTGCCTGGAATGTTCCACAGTATGGCGTTAAACTTTTCTATCTTGACTACAATAGACATGCATTGTCAGGTCACAGATCTGTCCTGTAACTTGTCTCCTTGCATCACCTACTTGACTCCATAGAGATAAATACTTTTAATGCCATACTGTGAAAGATAGGTGAAGCAATAACATCTCCATGGAGACAAACAGGTGAAGAACACAGTTACTGCCGCTTTTCTGTAAACTGATAGCCTTAATAAACTGTTGCATAATTTCAAGTGGTTGGTGAATAAAAACACACATTATATTTGTTATTCACCTGCATCCCACAGACGCGCACCCCGAGCGTGGCGGACGTGCTCTGCTCACACTTCTTCATCTGTCGCGCGGCCTTCTCCTCCGAGGCGTCGTCTCCGTGCTGCCGCGTGCCCATCTTCAGATCCAAGATACATGGGAACGAGAAGTGATGGACCACGTTCTCCAACAGCAAGAACTCTGCAGCAGCAATGTCAAGGAACAACTCACAAGTATTGACACTAATCGATATTAACACCAGTATTAAAACTAGATATTCATTTCATCAGGTATCAGTATTAAAAAACATTCACAGGACAGAAATGACCCTTTCCTGAACAGCTTTAGAATGATCTTGAGCTGTATCAGAACAAATATAAGAGCACATAGACTAGTACACACCCATTGACCACTATGGAACCTACCTGGACCACTGAGGGATTACACAGATGTAAGGCCACATGGAAATAGAAAATAAAGTACTAGGAGCAGAGTTCAGACTTTGGAGGCAAAAAGTGACTATTCTTAAATGATTAAGTGTGCTGTTCATTGAATCGAAAAATTGTGATCAATCAGTTTTTTGTTTCCTTTTCTGTTGCGATTTCTGAAAGGAATCTACAGCAGTTAAATGCCCTGTAATGCCTGTCTTGCTGTAGCGTGCGTGCTGTTTTCTTGTTGCTTTTTCCACTTTCTCCCTCTCTGCAGCTGTGGTTAGATGTAAACAGTGTTGTGTTTTGAAGCACCACATCAGAGCATGGCCTTTGACCCGTGGCTGTGTGAATCCAGATGTGCCAGCTCTTATCCAACAGCTGCACGCCACACTCAGGTTCTAGGGGAGCACTTACAACCTCTCCACAGTATGAAATATTCTGATAAACTAGACTGACAAAAGACTTTTACAAAACTGCAATGTAAAAAATGCCTCTTTTCAGCCATTACGTGCTTGTCTCCATTGTAGCTTTGTACAAAATGTTCCAATATGGCATGGCAAACGTAGCCGCATGAGGGCAAGCATGACACCTCACCACACCTACACTTCAGATCTGAGGAGAGGCAAGCCCACTTACAGTAAGACGAGTGCATGCTTTTTATGGTATTTTTATTGTGCTTTTTTATTGCTTTTTTTTCTTACTCCTGTTTAATTGTGTCTTTTATAAAATTGCTCAGTGCTCACTTTGGTTTCACAAAAATTGTCTCAATTTACTGCTTCACTCCTCAGTGTACCAACAGAGAGTAGCACAGCCCCTGTGCCTGTGGAGCCATTTATTTTGTCATAATTCTCACAATTAAGACAGATAAATAATTTTTGGTTGACTCTCTGTGGCTAGTGAAGGATACTGAAGAGCTTGCGGTCCTTAGACTCGCTCCTCATGCGGCTCAGCTGTTGCTTGTGGCAGCGCAGGCTCCAGGGGTTATAACTGATCTTCTCTGAGCTAAGGCCGCTGTTCCAGTCCAACATCTGAAACGGGACCTCAGAGTGAAGCTTGGGGTCCAGACGGGGACTCTTCAGCTCGCCCAGACTGGGGAGGGGAGAAAGAGTTATAACAACAAACACCACATAGACCTAATAACAAATGGACTAAAGGACTAAAGGAGTGTGACATATAGTCTTATAGTTAAAAAAAACTCATAATAACCAAAGTTTGAGTGTGCATATAACCATAGCCACAGACAAAATAGGGCTGCCAGTCCAGCACTTACTACTACTCAAACCTTCAAACTATAATGTCTAATTGTATTCATAATCAAGCTACTATGTTAACATCAAAAATTGTTTTCTAGACTGAAAGCAGGTTTTCTTCACAGACTGTGTCCAAGGGTTAGTGGAGAAAGTGACTCCCAACTACTGTTATTTATGTCAGTCTACAGTGACAAGCCCTTTGCCATGTAAAGCATATTTAAATAGTGCATCTTTACTTCTCCTGTGAGTCCTGGTCGTGCTCCCTCCTCTCCTCCTTATTCTCCTTCTGTTCTTTATGTTCTTTGTGTTCTTTATGGTCTTTGTTGTGGTCAGAGGTGGAGGAGGAGCGGTGCAGGCTGCGTCTCGAGTGCTTCCTCCTGGGTTGCTCTCGCTCTGGGGGGTCCCTCTCCTCGGGCTCCTCTTCCACACTCTCCACGTACGGATACGCCACCAGGTTTATGTACCCGTCTGAGTCACCCTCGAAGCACACCAAAACCACTCCTAAAACATGAAATTAAAAGAGCAGGTTATGTCAGTTCACTACACAAACAGAAGCTCATGCACACATACATACGCACACACACAAACAAGAGACTACAGCGGTGGTTAGGTGTGATTAATGGAAATGTTTTTCAGCAGTTCGTATGTGTTGAGGGAGTGAGTTATCTCTGTGTGTGTAACAGTAGTAACTGTTACCTTTGGGTATGTAACCTTACTGACCATTGCCTTTGTACATATAATCACAGTGACCGTTACCTCTGTGTATGTAACCGTAGTGTCCGCCTCTGTGCGTGTAGTGTAACAGGAGTGACCATTACCTTTGTACTCGGGGGTGAACTCCTTCATCTCTGGTGGCAGAGACTCGTAGAAGCGCTGCTCTCGACTGATCAGAGGTTTGCACACGGTGTGGTCGTCATAGCGCATCATACTGGTGTGGCCCCCCACCTACACAGTGACATATGTATTATATGCATTATAAACACTGTATATACATATGCTGCAGAACACTACATGTACTACATAACACTACATACACTACAGGTCCTACTGCTTCACCTGAGGCTCTCACTCACCTGGTGAATGAATGGCTCCAGAGACACACCCCCTCTCTGAGCCCCGCCCACAGACCCTCCCGGCAGCTTGGATTGGTCCATGTTGTGGCAGTGAGGGAGGCACATGGCTCCAGACGGACGCGCCACGCCTCCTGCTGCAAAGCACCATGGGAAACATCACTACTGTGGCACTTATAACATGAACACATATAATGATATAGAGTGTGTACCTGGTGCATGGGCTCTGCTGAGCAGTGAGGGGGAGGGGGGCTGCTGCGAGCGCACGCCGGCCCCGGGGGGAGGCGGCGCCAGACCGGAAACCCACCGCGCAAATCCTCCAATCAGAGCGCTCCAATCCACTGTCGTCCAATCAGGGCACTCCAATCCGCTGTCAACCAATAACGGTGAGCCAATCCACTACCAACCAATTAGAGTGATCCCATTCAAAGCTGGCTTATGTCTGACCCCATGAGAGTGAAGGCTGAGCGGCTCCTATGAGAAAAATAACACAAGTTGTTCTGTTATAATGATTACTTGAGTCATCGAGCGGCACTGGACATTGTGCGGAGGCAGATGTCTGTCACTGAACACAGCAGCTTCTATAAATAGACTTAACAGGAAACATCAGCCCAGATCTGCCCCAGTGTAATCTCATCAGTCAAACCAGATACGATTATTAAGACACCAGTTACCCAAATATCTAAAGGACATAACTACATTTGAGTCGAGGCTGAAAAACAAAACGAGAGGCTATGGCTGATGCTGCTTTTTGTCCTGGTCTAGAGCTGTGCATCCAGCAAATTTCAATCTAATCAAGATTCAATCATTTCAGCTTTTTAATCAAGCGATGCACTTACCCTTTTTGTGTTAAATGACAATATAAAATCTAATTGTGATATTATTTGTATATATTATACATTATATTTGTCTTATACTTTACCTTCACATTGTGAATCTGTTTTTTGGTAAGGGCTGTATGGTCAGTTAATACACATGTAATATAAAGATGTACATGACATTGTTTTTAATCAAAATAGTAAGCTGGACTCTATGAAAATTGTGATCTGAAATAATAATGCATTAGTCATACATCGCGCATTTCCAAAAGCCCAGTCGCTTTACACTTCTGTGCATTATTCATTCACTGTCATATTAGAAAATTGAAGTATTCTTATATCAAGCTGCAAGAGACAAATGCAATCAATATTAAAACCAGAATTAAATGATTTGGGTAAAATTTCTGACTGACTTATTCTGAAATAGACAAAAATATGAACTGATACAATAATGACTTTTCAGAACCTCTTTGAACAGATCTACACTACTGGGTTAGGTTTTTTATGCAGAATAAGGAGATTTTGTCAGGAGATTTTGTCATTTGTGGAAGAAATTACGGTACTTCAAAAAAATGCAACCTTAGCGATTTGCTAATTATGTCCATTTAGACTTAGATTACATTTCAATTGTGATTAATTTTGCAGCCCCACTTAATACATTACACTCTATTTGATGTCTTAAGTTTGTGGGTTTAATTTTTGTTTACGTGTGCTGCTGTGTAGTGTTGCACTTGAGAGTGGCCAGTCCTGTCTTGTCCAATCAGATCAGAGTATCACCAGGACAAAGCCGACTCCGATTAAGCTTCTATTTCTGAAGGAGATCTGAGCCAATCTCAAAACAGACTTCACTTTCACTCAGACCAATTAGACACAGACTGTTTCCATGGCCTGGAGAAGATACAAGGACCTGTGTGATTCTGATACTTAAACCTTCATACAAGAACGATTACTGCTTTGATATAATGAACAAATACTCCCAATATTCTACTCTTCTTTACCAGTTTGAACCATGTTTCTTTCACATACTTTTAGATAAGACAGAGGTGAGCAAGAAGTCCATAAGAAAAATTAGGATTGTTGCCATAGCAGTTAATAATTTAAAACCTTTTTTTTTTTAAATGGCCAAGATAAGAGAGTCCTCATAATGTCACCTATAACAGAAATCTGAAACCCATGAATCACTGATAATATTGTCAATGTTGTTTCACAGTTCATATTTCAGGATTTCAGGCATTTAAAATGTGAACTTTGAACAGAATCATATAATAAAACATAAATTGCAAATGTATTCACAATTGCAAAGCTTATCAGAAAATTCACAATTATTTACTTAGGCCTATGGAATACTAATTCTTGACTCTTTACACTCTCATCAAAAACAAAGAGAACAGAAAACTCGTCAACTTTGACACTAGGGCTGCACACGTCTTATAAAACAGTGAAGCGTCTGCAAACTGTTAACCTGCATCAGCACACTAAGACCTGAGAAGGCAGAGATGGAAACAGGACGGTTCTGCAATAAATGTACAGCAGTAAACACAAGATGCAAGGAATTCAGTTTGGGTTTCACAAAGTAGAAAGATGCTAATGAGCAGCTAAAATATGCCAGGGGTACATCAATAATAATATTATTATTATTTATTTTAAAGAAGACACACATTATTGTGTTTGTTTAAGTCTAAGTGTTAAAACTATATAGCAGACACAAAATGTATTGGTCCACAAGAGAAACTACTTGGGCACAGTAACGCACAAATCACAATATATTATAATAACAAAGAAAAACAATGTTAAATGGTGATAATAAATTCTAATTAAGCAGCATAATATTCATTATATATTGTGTTATAATTTGCACATTTTAAATTGTAATATTCATCCAAAATGGCTTAATAAAAGAAACTAGTCCGCTGATGTCTGCGTTAGAAAACTGCAGTGCCCAATGGGGGTTGATTGACAATATGGCATCTTGTAAATAAGTTATTAAAGATTACTCCAACATGCACGAATCTCTCTAAATACAACTTCGGGTTAGTAAATGGTGAGGGGAAACAACTATAACATATAACAAGCTCTTGCCTAACAGGTCTACTTTAAGATTACACATTTCAATGTTGAGTATGTGCCCTGTAATAGAAAATGAATTTTAAAAAGATCACAAACTTGCAGTGTAATGTTTCAGACAAGAGTATAAAGTAATCTTACACTTCGGAGCAAGATTTATTGTCCATTAGTTTTAGTGCAATGCTTGTACCTCAGCCAAGACATTTACAGGCACATTTAGCTCATTTCTGATGGACTGCCAAACTATCATTGTATTACAGTTATTGGAATAACCAAACATATTATTGAGAATCAGTATTCGGTATCACCAACCCTTTGCTGTCTAATGTTGTAACAATATTGATTTTGGTCACAACTGTCAGAAACCATCCAAAAATCAATGCGTGGACTGAACTGGTATGTTTAATATAGATATAATTCTATTAGTGGTCTTTGTTCGTAGAAATATAAGTAAAATGAGATATAGGACTAAACCGTAACTTAATATGGAATTGATTAAACAAGTTTAAAAATGTTCTGATATCTATAACTAGGTCTCATCAATATCAAACAAGGTCAAAAACTGGGACTTGAAAGGACTCCAAATTTAGACTTCAAGAATTCAATTAATTAGGTAATCACAAAACGACGCCCTCTAGAGACATTAGCTCCGTAATGAAAACGCGAGTGAACTAAAAATAGCACTATTGTTGTTGTTTTGGTTGTGTTTGTGGGTTTGGCCCCTAGTTCTCCATTTTAACCCTTTATTTACCCAGCATGATGTATATTAAAACTGCACAACAGCGTCCAAATGTTATCTGGTATTTTCTTTGTCATAACTGCTATGGTATGGAATAAAATGTAACAAATTATGATCCTGTCTAATATATAGTTAATAATATACAAACTTAATCAAACTTGCAGTAGTAATGAAATTGCAAATAGTAAAGTAATGACAGAGCACACATTGTACCAAAACAGAAGATCCAATTTACCCATAAAATTGAATAAAGTCATTAATATAATGTTTCGCTTGAATATGTTTGTCATTTAAGCTTGCCGGGAAAATAAAACTAAGCATTTCTGGCTATTTTCACAATATAAATAGCAGCACCATTGCAAAGTTATTAATGTTTTTAGCTATTAACCAGTCAGACACGTTTAGATGGACTTCTGTCAGCTTCTTCTTGACCTTAGCTTGACAACATGCTAACATGCTAAATCAGTTTTCAGTCTTTAAATTATATTTTTAATTACAGATCAAGACCCAATGCGTATCGTAATCACTCATAGTAAAATACAGTATACAAATAAACATGGTGTCAATTGTATAACTTCGTATTTAGCGTTAAAGATAAATAAATGATGTGCCTCCGGTTAGCCGCGATGCTAAATGCTAATAGCACGGTTTTGTCGTTACGCAGTGGGTCTCTCCTCTACGGGCAAAATAAGCACTTACCGTTGGGTTTTGAGGCGGGATACGGGGCTGTTTTTACGGGGGATGAGTGCTTCAAACACCGGGCAGAGTTATGGGTGTCCGTCCCAGTAATCCGGGCTCATAAAAGGAAGAAAAAACAACATCCAGGGAGGCTAGCGGGCTGTTGGCAAAACGGAGGTTCGAGCGCCCCCAACAGACTTAGACCGGGCAGTGCAGTAATGCAATATGTAAGGTTTATAAGTTATTAATAACAGAGGAAACTAGGGCAAAACAAGAAAGACATGTGGAGAAAAGAGTGGAGATACGAATAAAAACAAATTCCTAAATTGGGACAACACAATCAAATATGCAGATTTAATTTTGGTACACAAAGTTTTTAATCATCTTGCTCCACCTCCTCTAAAGGAGTTTGAGAAAAGAAATTCAAATCACACAGCAAGAGCAGCTCTAGAGGCGACTGCTCTGTGGCGTTCAGAAAAAGTGCTTTTGGACAACTCTCTTTTGCTTATCGAGCAGCTCAAACATGGAACACAGTGCCTGCTCATATACGAGAGCTTTCAACATTGGCAGCATTTTCTAAAGCTTTAAAACAGTGGTTGTTCAATGGTCAAATATGTCACCATGTTTAAACCAATTTACATTTTCATTATTTTCAGGGGCTGTTGGTTTAACTCTTGGTTTACCTCTTAAACTCTTGACTTTGAACTTCAAATGGACTGTTTGAAACTAACTGTATGTATAGTGAGTGTGTTGTGTGTATAGTGAGTGTGCTGGTGTTGTGTACTTTTGTGTGATTGTTGCTGTACATTCCTTAGATGGTTTTACATCAACCTGCCAAGGGACTGAAGATGGAAATTAGCCACGTTGGCTATAATCTTTACATATTTAATTTTTTTATGTTCATTAATATGTACTGTCCCTTTACAAATAAATAAAATAAGAAAGAAGAAAAACGGTAATAAATCCAGACAAATGCAACATGGTTTTGCATCATGTATTGTTTTATTTATAATGTTTACCTCTTCTCTTATATATAAATGATATATATAAAATCAGCAGTCAGCTTGACAAGAATTGAAAGAAAACCAACAAAACACCCCCCACATAATTTCAGAGGGTAAACAATATACCAACATTATCAGTATAATAATTTGTCCTAGACTGGTTCATGGTGAATACCTCTTTTTACTGCCATAATTTAGATTTACTTTTTATTTAATTCTTGAATAATATGTAATATGCACATAAGAGAAGATTTCGTGCTTTTATTTTGGTAGTCAGCAGGTAGGAACTGTTATTGTTTTGTTCGGTTCCGCTGGACCCCTTGATAGAGACGCAAAAGAAGTCAATTAAAGTTAAAATAAAGTGAATAAAGTTATGTTAAAGGTCATTCTACCTCCAAAATATGAATGAGCCAGCGAGGTATATTTTTTGTAATTGTTCATGTCTTTATTTTATGTCTTTTATATTATACCTTTTCTGATTGTAATTTATGTTAATTATTTTAGTTCGACGGTGGCGTTGGTGATATTGGCATCAAAGGCATCCTTGAAGTCTCAAGATTGTACAAGCCACAATAAAGATTAAGCAAGCCTTCAGTAAAAAGAACTCTTTATTGACAACACGAGGAGGTGGTGTGATACCTCTTACTGGGTCTATCCCTTGAACTACAAGGCAAAATGTTAAACCTCTTCTCTATAAGCACACATTAATTAAGACTACTTTTCTTAATATCAAGGCAGAAAGGCAAAAATAATATAGAGTATTCAATGGCAAAAGTTAAAGTTGATAAATAATGATAAGTTTGTGGACTCAAACTGTAACAAATAATAACCTAGTTCAACATTTGTGGGTTTCTGTTTGGAAATTTATTTCAGAAATCTTTTTCAATATAAGCGTTTACCTATAAGATTTTTATTCGGTTATCTTTTAATGATAATTTTATGATGATTATTTATGTTTCGATTTGTTTGTATTGTGTGATTTATTTATTTTTTTCTTATTATGTAAAACGCATTTAATTACTTTGTGTATGAACTGTGTTAGACAAATATATTTGCATTGCCTTGTTTAAATGGGGTAAAATTTAAAATATATATATATGTAAAATTCATGGCGTGTGATTGGCTGGGTTCAAAATGAATGAACCAATCAACGGTGCCTTTCTTGGCTGTTGTCAGTTTCCAACATACACAGTACAGGTGGACGTGCAGCTGTGACCGATTTGAGCAAAGACGTGATTTTAAGATAAAAAAAAAATTAAATGTCGCCTTGACCGTTCATTCTCCATCTTCGGGTGGGATCTATTATCTATTACGAACCACTGTGGACGGCACCCATCAGTATGAACCTGGGGTGAGTGTGTTGTGTTTTAAATTAGCATGAGGCTAGTAATGCTAACTGTCAACAGGCTTGGTGAAACAACAAATTAAGTTCCCGTCCGATTGTCGTTTCCCCACTAGTGGAGACATGTGTAGATGCCCAGTTTCCGTTCGTAGCCGCTAGGTAACTGCACGTGCCCCGGAGGAGGAAAACAGGTGTATCTAAGGAAGCCAAAAAGGGACAAACTACCTAACATTTTATGGGTGGCGAGAACTTACGCTAGCCAGTGCTTTAGTAAATTGATATTATGTTACATAAGAATTATTTCAAGTATTTTATATCGTATACTGTTTGACATTTAGCGAAGTTGTAGTGTAAAGTGCAATGGTGAAAAGTGACCGACTTTGTGTTTATGGTACTGTAGCTTTCTGTATCGTCCACTGGTGTCAAATGATAAGAAAGAAAGAAACACACACTCATGCTCACAAGCATCACAACAAATCTGTAATAAAAAGCTCAATATTTAGATAAGGTGGTCCATCCATTATAAATCATTACATAATAGGTCCAACCTGATAAAATATGTCTAAACAGGGAAACAAAAGAAATTACCCAAGTGATTTTTTGGTTATCATCATCAGGGTCCACTTCACAACAGAAGTGACAAAGTTCACTTAAGTCATCTATTAATTGTTAAAGAAGTCAGAAATTAAATGTTTGCATGTGATTTATTTTAAAAATCCATCAATCAAGGCCCTATACACAAACAAAATAACTACAATGAAAACCCACTGAGAAATGTAAATGGGACTACGCTTTATTGGATCAGATTTGTTAATGTTCGCGAAAAACCAACACTAATTTGACCCCCATGGTTTTCTGTAGAGCCAGTTGTGTTGTGATGCTTCTGTGGGCGGAGTTTGTTAACATTGGTTTTCGAGGGGGAACTGGAATACCAATAGGGGAACATAATTTGGTGTTTCGCTAGTCCAAACAGCTGCGAGTGCGCGTGGACCATAGTCTATCTACTGAAGAAAAGAGCAATGCAAAGACGACACATGGCGATGATCACAGTCAACATTTATGATGTTATACACGCAGAAAGGAAGCGCTATGTGACCCACATTAATAAATACAGTGATTTCAGTGGTACTTGCACAGATTAAATAAATTGTCTTAAATTTCCATTGGTTTTACATTATAATAACCATTTGTAGGTCTACTAACCTCGATACTCGAGACTTTAGTCAGCAATATGCAAATTGTAACTGAAACGTCTGTCATGGCAAAAATTATATATTATATATCTCTTGAAGATAAATAATGAATCCATTTGCGAAGCCCGATGAGTTTTTGGAATATAGACCAAGGTTTATTCTTGTTACAGCAGATATGGACAGGGCCTAGGCCTGCCCTGGCCAAAACCCAACCGCCTCTGCACATCAGCAGTATGCTCCTACTACATCTCCCACCATATCTCCCAGTCTCTCCCCATGTATCTCCCCATGTATCCACTCCGAGCATTTGAGCTCTCAGTATTTATACAGAAATACAAGTTACATACATATCAAAGTGAGAAAGTGACGACTCCTACTGAGGTGTGACCAGATGATGATGCTTGATCTGATTTGCATCCATATTCACTTGCATTTGTCACTTCCTGACATGATTAGCAAGCAAAAGGAAACAGAAGTATTTACAATGAATGGGTCTTTCTAACAAGCCAAATGAGTTTTAGTTACAAGACCAAATGTGTTTCTAAAAGATAAACTAATAACTATTTTAATGTAATCAATCATAATCAGTATTTTCCTGTGGGGGTCTGGTCTCAGGTAGAAAACACATTCATTTACACAAAGACAGAATGACAGAAACAATCTAAATTTTTATCACACGTCCTTGAATTATGATGACATAAAAATGTACATATTTTCTCTCTCTAACTCGTTACCCCTCCTCACTACAGAGAAGGTTTGCTGTTTGAGCTGGAAAATGGGAAACCCAAACTGATCTTTCTGAATCATGGTAAATTGTATTCATTGTTAGTTCATAATCTAGTTCATAATATACTGTATGTAATGTATTTACTGTATTTATGAAATAAATGAATCAATAATATATTTTTGCACAGGCACACCATAACCTATTTGCATCTCACTTCTCTTTTCACTCTCTACTTTTTTGCAGAAGAAAAATTTCAGAAGAATCCAGTGAAGGTAATTACCATGTCAGTCAAATGTACTGGTAATTGAAATGCACAGCTTTAATTTCTAATACATCTAATACAATCTCTTACTGTTTTCTTAACCAAAACAAGTATACATTACATTTCAAACTTATAAATTGTAGCTGATTGCACCTCAAAAGCCTCTAAAATCATAATGAGTAACTATAGTTTTGTTAATTCTGATAATTCATATTTTTAGCCAAGGCCCCGACTGCCTAGTGTCTTGAGCTGTAGACAGCCCTCGAGATTGGCTACGCGTAAGGAGGAGCAGCCAATCAGAAAACAGAATCTACTGAATGGGAGAAGCCACCAGAATAAACCAGGAAGAGGAGAGGCCATCGTCAGAGGCTGGGGCCAAACTGTGACAACTGCAAAAACTCAAGAGAATACTGCGCTGGGAAAACAAGTTAAAACTAATGCCAAGGTTGGTCTACACTCTGTTAGGCGTGTTCTATCAAAAACTCAATCTCAAAACTCAATCAATTAAAATTAAAAAAATTTATTCCCCTGACAATACAATTCTAATACAGAGCTCTGGGTCAGATCGTTGTCCCTAACTGCCTACAAAGTTACAGAGGGCTTACATCAGGCATCTGACCCCGTGCTTGTTCCTCAACCCAGTTTATAAAACACAACAGTATGAATATGCAAATAATATGTTGAGCAGGTTCCCGTCTTGAATCGTCGCCTTGAAGTGTCAGCATTTCTTCTTTGGGGGAAGTGACAACCCCCTCCAAACCATTGTAAATCACACCAAGTCTGTTTAGATAAGCCAGCTGGTTATCTCCACAGTTGTTCTGCAAAGGAATTTGCATAGAAGCACATAGGTTACACATTATGTAGGAAATACAATGGTACTATTCAACAAATAAGATCTCAGTGTTTAAGCTTCAGCTCAATGTGTAACTTCATTAAACGATATTCAAACCACCACTTGATACTGCCTTCAACTCTTATCATGAATTTTATTTTACTCAGTTTTTTACTGTATTAAAATTGAGAACATGATCTTGCTGTTTTCACTTGAACTGAGCCAATACTGAGGCATAATGTCAAATGTTCTGTACTGATTCGATGAAGGAGCAACTCAGCCCTGCATATGTATTTGTTTACCTTGAGACTGATGGAAAATTATCCCTGCTGCCATAGCAATAATTCAAAACAAAATATTACATTTTTGTACTTTACATACTTTATTTAGCAGAAATACTACTGTTACCACAAAAATGTATACGGAAATCTGGCACATATAAAAAATAAAAAGTATTTCTGCTTTTTCTCAAAATCATTTATAGTATCAAAATGTATTGTACTACTCCTGGATAACAAAATGACACAAAAAACAAAGATTATATGGCGATACTAAGGAAATACCATTAAATTGTCCTTGTTAATAATCCTTCTGATGTTTTTGCTGAAGGTGAAAGCAGCTAAACCCCAAAATGTGACACCAGACAGAAAACCAGAGGAGCCCAAGAAGAAGGTTGGGCTAAAAGTTGCACCGTACAGGCAGAGCACATCGCTGCAGGAGAATGAGGCGTGTCTGACCAATGAGCAGCTTCAACATATTCTTAATGTGGTCCAGACAAACAACTATCCCCCAAACACAGAAGGTATCAGCATGAAAAGTGTCAAAATGTACCGGTATGTTCTTTGAATGCCAATTATGTGTAATTAAATAAATCATTTTTAATTTCAGAAAACCAAGCAGAGTGTGTCCCAGAGTCTATAGCGAGTGAAACGAAGGGTCCAGAGGAAATAAGGGAAAAAAATGAAATTGAAACTGAAACTGGAAATGCACCAAACAAGGACAAAAGGTGAGAGACCTTTTTGTTATTTTGTTATTTTAGTGAATCTTAGCAAAACCTCACATGTTGAAGCATCTGTCCATCAACTCGAAGGTCGGAGGATCAATTCCCACTCTGACCAAATTCTGTCACTGTGTAATGATACCTCACCTACCTTGCCTAGTATGAATCTTTATTGTTGTCCACATCTCTGAAGGAATCACAAATCAGAAATCATCTAGCAGTTTTTTGGCTACACGGAATCGTACATAATTTTAGTAATAGTAGAATTAATAATATGCAATAATAATTGGCAATTATTATATATATATTATCCGAGATAATATTTTGGTCATATTTTATTTAGGGCTTTTTCACCTTCAAGGCTCTAAAAGCATTTTTTTCTTTTTTAATTTCACTTGTTTAGATCCAGAGGTCTGTTGAGTTGGGTGGAGGAGCGGCCATCTGAGGATAGAGCTGTGCTGGATGCAAAAAAAGCTCAGTGGAAGAAAGAACTGGGTACAAAACATGTTTATATGCATATACATTATGTATAATACTCTCTCTGTATATGATTTTTAAATAGTTTTTCTTTTTTAGATGAACAATTGGCATTGAAGCAGAAGATCCAGCGGTTGGCTCCACTCAGACTCCAGGTATCTGATCTTTGTTTTGGTAAAATGTCACTATAAAGAGGCTTCTCTTGAGATCAGTGTTACACTTTACAATGAACAAAATGTGAAATAACATGTGATTGTCTGTTGTGTATTAGGGGGAGGATGACACAGAGAGTTTGGTCTCGGTCCAAAGCTCTATCAGTTACAAAGATTTACCAGCCGCCATCAGGTCCAGCCTCAGAGTCGGGGTAAAACACTCAAATACATTATAAAAATAGCATACTCTCTTTTCTTAAATTAGATTAGGAGATTTAATTATATTAAATAAGATTAAACCAATGACTTTAGTAATACAGTGTTCACAGTTTACAAAGTACAGAGGTCCAGTCTGTGATTTTACTGCAATATTTGTTATGTTTACTATATATCTATATATATCTCTATATCTATCTATCTATCTATCTATCTATTTTTTTTTTTTTTTTTATAGGAGTTTGCTCCGATGGACGAGGTGGAGCTGACACAGGAGCAGAGGCAGGAGCAGAGAAGACTTTGGCTTCAGGAGCTGGACAAACAACGAGCGGAAAGTTCAGAGAGAAAACGCCTCGAAAAACTACAACAACAACAAGTGAGAGAGGCTCATGTTTAAATATGTCATCAGGATAGGACCAGCTGACTAAAGCATCTGAATGTTAAATGGAGCTTTTAACCATGTTATAACTATGTTTTTATGGTTTTCAGACAGAGGACCTGCACCTGTGGGCGTGTCACTTTGACTCCTTCCACAGACCCCCCCTGGCTCCTCCCCCCTGCTCTCATGCTCCTCCCCCCTGCACACTGCCCCCGCCCCCTTGCCCCAGCGCAGACAGAGGTGAGATGGACCGCTGCTCCAGTCTGTCCCAGTGGGAGGAGGTCAATGTCAGAGCCAATGTGGAGACAAACAGCAGAGGGGGACACACCAACAGCGCCAGGTAACTCACTTAGCTTACTGCTTCAGATCTAAAGTGGAATCTTTCCATAGATACATGTGAACATAAGTCTCTCTGCTAAGTCACCTCCGGACCATGACGTCTCTGTTGGATCCGGCTGAAATCGAGGAGAGAGAGTGCCGCAGACTCAAGCAGCTGGAACAACAGGTAATTTCCGTCATCTGTCTGGAAACTTTTCTAACTGGACTGGACTATGAGATTGTAGACCTATTATTGTTCTCAACTGTATGTGCTTTGTTTTTTTAGCAAGCAATTGAGCTGCAGGTGGAGGAGCGCCGTCGCCGTAGAGAGGAGGAGGAGTCACAGAGGAAACGGGAAGAAGAGGAGGAGGAGCGAAGAGTGGAGCAGGAGAGAGAGCGACTGCAGAGACAGTACGAGAAAGAGAGACAGCGAGAGAGGAACAAGGTACATCACTGTGTCAATGAAAACAAACAAAAATAAATAAATCGCGGTTTGCTGTTTTTATTAAAGAGGGGGTACTTTACTTCTTTGTGGTATTAACTGCTGATGCCTAACATATTTAGATCACCGTGTTACCTTTTATAGTTTTGAAAATACGGGAGAGATCGCTAAAATACTGGACAGTGCATGGATGGCCCCTAAAATCTCTTCTGGCACGTTGAACCAGGAACAATACTATAACATTGTAGAAAGCTAAAAAACTGCTTTGCATTGTACCCCTTTTTAATTTTACCATCTTTCACATACATAACACTACTTTTCATCTCTTCTTCAGGAGCAGAGTCCAGAGATGGGCCCATTGGTCACAAACAGCTCTGAGCCTGAAGTACAGTCCAACAGTCAGTCATCATTATAGTTGGAAAAAAAAACTTTCAAAAAATAAATATATCTGTACAAATCGTTTATAGTTCCCTTATTTATTTTCTCTTACAGCAGCGGCCAATCAGGATACAAGTCCGGAGCAGGAGGCAGAATTAACAGCTGTCAATCATCACAGAGACACAGCAGTTCAAACGGGTGGGTGTCTTCAGGTTTTACAGTTATACAACAGACCAGAAAGTTGTTAGCATTAGCAGCTTTTGTCACCTCGTACCCTTTGTTATCGTGACAGGCCTAGGCTTTCAAATGTCTTTATAGTCCAGTGGCCATGGTGGCGGCCATGGCAGCTTCTGGAATAACTGTTGCTGTTTGTTTTCTTCACAGAGGAGGTGCACATTTCTGAGTCCTTGGATTCAGGCTCCTGTGGTCTGGTCTCTGGTCCGGTCCCTGGTCTGGTTCCAGGTCCGATCTCAGGTCCTGTCTCTGGTCTGAACGCCGTAGTCCAGGCTCAAGTCCAGCAGATGTTACACAGAGATTTTGGGGCAGAGGCGTATGAGCCATTCACCAGGACGGAGCGCCCCAAAAAATACGAGAAGAGACCAGAGTGGAATACACAGAGGTACAGAGGGTAGCTTTTACTGTGGATGTGACAATAATTGAAATTTAGTAATATTATTTTGTCTCCAGTCCATTATGGATTATAACAGTAATGATTCGCACCAAAGTCAAGACATTTAAACGTTTAGTTTGCCTCTCCAAATCTCAATTTATATCCAACTGTAATATTTGCATTTTCTTCTATACTAATGTGCCAAAGGTTTTGTGAGAGCTTAAATGCCTACTCCATCTTTTCACCGTTTAAAGGTTAGATACCCTAGATTTAAGTTGTATTAACTATGCCACCGGATAGAAACAGGCCTTTTAGGGACCAGTGTCCCAATTCATTAACTGAAGTTTGAAAAAACATTGGCTTCCTCTCTGCTTCAGTCCCCATGTGCTTTAGTAGTCACATTTTTGGACACACCAATGTCATTCACTGTATTTTTTATATATTTTCTGTATGTATATAAAATGTTCAAAGTGGTAAAAAAAAAGATTGAATAAGAAGTATATCCAAACTTTTGACTAGTTGTATAGTTGATAGTTTCTTTGTTTTAGACCGAATAGGAAGTTCGTGCCTGCCTCTCAGCGTTACCCAGAGGAGCTGCAGCGTCAGAGACAGGAGAGCCGTCTGAGGAGGCAGGCGCAGCTCCTGTCACTGCAGAGGAATCCAACTAGCAACCCACACAACAATAATGCAACCAGCAGAAACCCAGCCAATAGCCAAAACGTGCCTCCAAGCCTCAGCCCCACAGAGCAGAGTGGACCAAAGGAGACCAGACAGACCAGCCGGGTGAGACAAAAACTCTCTGAGCTAATCACTGCTGTAGACTGCTGTATAATATGGGCAAATTTTAGTTAAATTGACCATATTCCGCTGTTTTCTGATCTGTGTTCTAATGTTATTTGCTCATCATACCCTGCAGATTTAGGCTGAGTTCTTCTCTCAGACTGAAAACACTTTGCTCCACCGTTCCACCTTGTGATATGTGGTAATACAGTTAAAAGTGCTCCACTGTGTTTTTAGAGCATTTTGAGTTTTGCAGAGGCATGTAGACTGATAATGCAGGGTTCCTCAAACATGTGTGAATGAAATAAAACACAGGTTCAGGTCTGTTAACAGCATTATAACATGTCTTAAAGCTCACAGAAGTCAATTTTGTGTGATATAGGCCCTTTAAAGGTTGTATGGAGGATTTTTTTTGTTTCAAATAGTCAATGATAGCATTATAGAGGTGCAGTAGCCTTGTAATTATGATGACCAAAAAAAAGAGAATAAAAATTCATCAACTCTGGACGTGGTGGGGCTAAACATTTGCCAATAGATAACGATACTGCCTCGTTATCTGTTAGCTGACAGGCTGTCAATCAATCTCCCTACGTTTCTAGCGTAACTGACTTGCCTGCGCGCTGCCATTACGTGGTTTACGTACGACTGTCACGCAGTCCACAGACGCAAGACGCACAGACGCTGTTTACTCCACCAACGCAACAGTTCTTAGCGGCTTTTTTTTACCTATATCTTCCTCGCAGTTAGCACAAAGTTTGTTGCAATGGCAGACAAGAATCCAGGAGCAGTTAGCCCCAAAAGAAAGTCCGTTTTTGAGGTCGCTGAAAGAAGAAGACAAGGGGAAAAGCAGCGAAGCCAAACTAAGGTGATTCTTGAAGATTCATTCCAGCGATGGCGCGACTGAAGCAGACGCAGGGTCTAAAGACTGACGCATTGGTCGCCAAATTACTCCTGGACAGGAAACTTCTACTTATTATGAAAACGTACTTTATTTCCAAGAGCTCGACAAACGTTTTTCAGGACACGAATGCGATATCCTATGTCTGAAAACGTAATTTTCAAGGCAAAGGAAGAGTCCGCTTGCTGCTGCGTGTTGTAGCTAGTTCATTCGCACGGAATCTCCGCGCACCCTTCTCTGCACCCTTTCCTGCTCCTCTCCCCGCTGCCAGTTCCGCTCTTCTCCCTGCTCCTCACTTCTTGTCCGCGCACGGAATCTCCACGCACCGCTCCCCTCTCCTCTCTCCTCTCCCTGCTCCCTGCTCCGTTCTTCTCCCTGCTCCTCACTTCTTGTCCGTGCACGAAATGTCCGCGCACCCCCTCCCCCCGCTCCTCACTTCTCCGTCTTGCCTAACCAACACTGTAGTTATTTGTTTACAAGTCATGTGCAATGCACTGGCTGTAAACAAACCTGTTTCTGGCGTAAGGAGGAGGCGGGAGGAGGTGTTTCTACGTAGGGAGCTGTGGGCGAGGGGGGGTGGTTTCACGCATGCGCAACATTTGAAAAAGGACAAAGGCTGGATTTCTCGTTCCTTGGAAAATCCTCTATACTACCTTTAACTCCACAACCCTGGTTTGAAATAAGCGACTAAATTGGTATAATGTGTTTTTTCAGTTCAAGATGGTTGGACAGCCCACAGATAAGTAAGGTTATCTTTTAGTGTAACATGCTGTTTTTACAATTACATAAATATGAACATGCGTTGTGCTGCTCTCTCCTGTAGGGGGCGCTCTCCACTCCACATTGACTCTCCAGCTCCAGATTTTCTCCCTTATGTTCGAACAGATGAAGTGTTTAACCTGAGACCAGTGGAAACGCAGCATCAGCACTCACTACACACAGGTAACCCTCTAATATACACTGTTTTTAATCTAACCTTAGTCATTACTCAGTCCTGTTTTAGTCTTGTTTTTGGTCCTGTTTCTGGTTCAATTCCACATTTACTTTTGGTTTAGTGGTATTATAATGGGTTACACTAGTACACTAATGTTAGTCCATGTTGTATTGTATGCTTGTTTGGTATGAATCTGGCCTCCATCTTTTGTTTTTAGTTATGTATGTATATTATGTTTTAACTATGTAACTTCCTGGTGGAAGGTCCATCACCTGCTTGTTTCTGTGGAGATGTCATTGTTCTGCCTGGAATGTTCCACAGTATGACATTAACAGCTCTACCTTTCATTTAGTCAATGATAGGTGGTTTTATAACTCCAAAATACCTAGAAAAACAAGTATTCTGACTGAGTGGTGCTGTGTCTCCACAGATCTGACCTGTAACTTGGTTCTCCATGAAGATAGAAAGGTTTCATACCATACTGTGAAACATTCGAGACAAAGCAATAACACCTTCATTCTTTTGCTTTGCATGCTTTTGACCAGAAAAGTTACACAATGCACCTTTTAATAATAGTCATTTTGTGTCATTTTGTTTCTCTAATTGAAATAAATCATGGGTTTCTGCTTTCTTGTGCCTCTAAATTTTATAAATGTACTAAAAGATATATTTCTCGTTCAGCTCCAGCTCTTCGGCTTCTGCAGAAAACCCAGAGAAAAGAAGAAATCCTCAGAGGACTGGCGCAGCTCAGACAGGTGAAGAATCCTCTTCTCCTCTGCCCCTCTCCTCTTCTCCTCTGCATCCTCTGTTCCTCTGACCCTCTTCTCTGCTTCTCTGATGCTCTCCTCTGTTCTCAAGAATAAATGTTACATAAAGGCTCCAGTTTGGATAGTTTGTGTTGAGTAATTTTGAGTCATGGGAGACATGATTAATTCGCTCCACTATCAGAGAGGAGAGAAATTACTTGTATTTAGAGCATTTGTGTGTATGTGTGTGTGTATGTGCGCAGCTGTCTGCGTGCAGCTTCTGTTTCCTGTGTAAAGATGGAGAGGATTTTTGAATGTAACATAAATCAGCCAATCACATTGCTTCATTTGTTTTGACCAGAGTGGACACACAGAAGAAACAGACAGACGCCGTACATTTAAATATATATATGCAATTTTAAGCCATTATAATTAGAAATAAAAAAATAATAATTGGCCTATTTGGTTTGGTTTTTAAAAATATTCTTCTTATGAAATTGTATCTTTATAGCTGCTTATATGACTGAAACTCTTTTAAATTGTATTTAATGGGCCCATATTAAACCATTTTATGTGAATCCTTATCTACTTTATCTGATCCTCTTCTCCTCTGCATTCTGCATAAGAAATTCACTACACCTATAAATCTCTTTGGGTTTTCCTTAGTCCTCCTGTTTGTTGGCGCTCCATCTCTCCTTTGTACACGCTCAAACTGTCTCGGTGTGGTAATTGTATCTCGTGATGGACTTTTCTAATCCTGTCCATTCTCATCATGAACAAATACAGAAACCCTACATCCCTGTGTTACTCCTGTTATTACTTCTGCTTTTTGTTACATTTACAGTATTTCTCTCATGTATCTTTTCAGGGTTTGCTCCAGAAACAGCGTGAGCTTGAGTTGGACCTGAGCCGCAGTATGTTTGACGGCAAACTACCGATGTGAACTATGACCCCTGGATCCGTGGATCTCACTTCCTTTTTCCTTCAGCAGCACTTTGAGGCAGAGACCACTGTCTGTATTTATTGAAATTTGATTGTAATAAACTTTGAACTGGCTCAGACTGGCTCATTATTGTGTAGCTTGTAAAGCTTTTTTAATTTAGATAATGGGGAATTTACAAAGAAATAATTTTAATTTGGGGCAAAATTTAGATTTACTTAGAGCGCTTAAAGGTGCATTGTGTAACCTTCCTGATGGAGGGTCCATCAAATGCTTTTCTCCATGGACATGTTATTGTTTTGTCTGGAATGTTTGATAGGGCAGTATTAAACCTTTCCATCTTGGACACCAAACCAGACCAAGTTATAGGTCAGTTTTTTGGAGAGGTGACCCGCTCACAGTCAGAATGTTTGTTTTTAGGTATTTTTGAGCTTTTTTTTTTTTTAATTAATGCTTGTAATTTACACCTGTAACTGAATAAATGTAAGGTAGAGCTTACTTACGTAATGTGTTAAAATCAGAGGTGGATAGTACTGTTACATTTACTTGAGTAACTTTATAATGAAATTGTACTTTTCTAGCAGCATACTTTTACTTCTATGTGAGTAATATTTTTATTGAAGTAACAGTACACTTATCTGAGTAAAAGTTTTGGTGAGTTTTCTCACTGTGAGTTAGTCTACAAAAGTGGCAAAAGCTTTATGTTGAAAATATGAAATGACCTGAACATGTGTGCTCCTATAGTTTTGATTTTGTCTCATTTTTGCCTCCATCCTTTTTGAACATTTCATGTTTTTTTCCTTCCAAAATTTACATTACATCATTCTTTCAGTTACTCTTACTTGAGAAGTACTTTTCCCAAAAACTTTTCCTTGAGTAATTTCTCATACCACTACATTTTCCTTGTACTTGAGTAATTTAATTTGGAAGTACCGTTACAATTTTTCTATTCTGCCCACCACCCATAAAATTCATTTAAACATTTTCCCTCTTTTTGTGAATAGGTCAACTCAGAAACACAAGCATACGAGATCGATTAAAAACTGAACACAAAAAAATGTTTATTTCGGTTACAAACCAAACCATATTTACAGCCTCTTTGAATCCACAAGAGGGCACCAGACAAAAACAGAACAATGAACAATGAACGTCGCGTTTAGTGTTTATTTTGGAAAAAATATAACTAAAATATACACAAATCTGTAAAAATTTGTTAAATTTTTTCAAATATAAAATAAAAATAAAAACACACATTAAAAGCTGCACTCTGACATTTCCAGTGGAGCATCCGCAACCTGTTTGTCTCATGGAAATATTACTGCTTTGTCTAAAATGTTCCACATGGAACATTCCAGGGAAAGCGATAAAATCTCCACGGAGACAATTAGGCAGCAGCCTCTCCACCAGAAAAGTTGCGCAGTGCAGCTTTTTACAATGAGTGAAATGTCTTAGTAGCACCAAAAATCTCTCTTTTGTTTCAGATTGCACATTACAAGTACATTTTTTTTACATAAACATTTTTAAAGAGGGAAATTAAAATTAAGTTAAAAAGCTGATTTAAAGATTATCAAATATGAATTACAAATGAATAAGATTATTATGTATAAGATTATGTAATTAGAAACTTTGTCATATTTGAAATTCCACTGGTTCAATCCAGACTAGATGTAGTTTGCAGCTCTGAATAATTCTTGGCAACTGGAAAAAAACAAGGTGAATAACAGCTTTAAAGGTGCACTATGTAACTTTACTTTACATTTATTACATTTGTTACAGGTGGTTTTAGAGCTCAAAAATGCGTAGAAAAACAGGTATTCTGACTGTGAGCGGGGTCGCCTCTCCACAGATTTGACCTGTACTTAGTTTGGTTTGATCTCCTTGATGACAGAAAGTTTTAATGCAATACTGTGAAACATTCTAGACAAAGCAATAACATCTCCATGTAGAAACGCAGCCTCCAGAAAAGTTACAAAATGCACCTTTAACTACTATACGCTACAGATAAAAATAACTATTCATTGTTAACTTTGAATAGAAGATTGTCTAGATTAATATTTTTTACTTGTTGCAATATAATCTTCATTTGAATTAGTTCAATTTATTTGCTGGTTTAGTCTTTGTTCTTCTGTCGCTCTTTTGTCTTTTCCAATGGTAATACAACATAGCTGGTTAAATATTACTTCAGTGCATTTAAATGAACTTATCCTCATTTTTTTGTGCCTTTTCAGTCAAATATGTACAGTATTTTGACAGGATTTATAAACAAGTTTGTGAAATTACAGGGAAGACTGAGATGCTGAAATGAAATGAGCTCAAAAAGTGTGGAATATTTAGAAACTTTTTTTTTTTCAGTCCTGGTCAGTACTGGTTGAGTCCTGGAAAAGTTTTGGTAATATAAGAGAACTGAGACTTGAAATTGGGACCAAACTGGGACTAGACCAGAACTAGACCAGAACTAGACCAGAACTAGACCAGAACTAGACCAGAACTAGACCAGAACTAGACCAGGACTAGAACAGGACCAAACCAAGTCTACATTAACAACAATAAACCAGGAGGGCGAATATGAACAGAATCAGGACCAAACCAGGACCAAAACAATATTTAATCTACGTTTAAATTTGATTTGATTAAATGTTTCTTGTATTTCCAATCTAACCTTTTTTTTTTATTCCATTGTCTATCTTGATATAAAATAGATATCAAACTTTCAAAGGCTTGACCGAGATCATCTGACATTGATTTAATTTCTATCCAAAACAATCTAAAACTTGAAGAAAAGGAAATATCACATACACTACACACTATAAATAATTAAACACAGAGTCTCACACTTTTTTTTTTGGATACAATTTTGACAGAAAGTAAAATCAGTTTCAACTCTTAGATTAGATAATATATACAAAAGTCAAGGACATTTTTAGACAAGAAACTTCAATTTCTCTTTCTGCATATGTAAGATAGTTTTTAGACAGCAAATTTAGACCTGGTTTAGTTCTAGTTTAGACATAGGTGAGTCTTGTTTTAGACCAAGTTCAGACCTGTTTAAGGCCTACTTTAGTCCTAGTTTTGATGTGTTTTAAGCCTAGTTAAATCCAAGCTCAGTCATCATTGAGACCATCTTAAATCCTGGTTTGGTCCTGGATTAGACCAGTTTTAGGCCTAGTTATGTCCAACCTCAGTCCTATTTTAGACCTGGTTTAGTTTTGTTTAAAACCCATTTCAGACCTGTTTTAGTCCCAGTCAAGTCCTAGTTTAGATCTGTTTTAGGGTTAGTTAACTCCAAGCTCAGTCCTTGTTTAGACCTGGTTTGGTCCCAGTTCAGTCTTGGTTTTAGAACTATTTGAGATCTAACCTGGCTTAAGTCCTCGTTTGGTCCCAGTTTAGTCCCTGTTTAGATCAATATTAGGCCTAGTTAAGTCCTTATTTAAATATTTTTTAAGTCCTGGTTTAGTCCCAGTTCAGTCCTCACAAAAAACCTGTTCAAATCCTACATTCACGAGTTTACAAAGTGCATAGATCAGAAGTTGTAGCTTGTCCTCTGCCTCCATCTCTCCTCCAGTCTTTAGGGGCTCCTCACATCCCGTTGTACCCGCCCCTGAAGCCTCGTCGGTGGGGTGGAGCTCTGGTGCGCCCCCACTGGAACGGCCCGGGGCCCCAGAACATGGGGTGGTGAGGCCTGAGGGAGTGTCCAGGGAAGGCTGTGGGGCGGGGAAGCGGGCGAGGGGTGGGCGGGAGCGAAGTGTCCGAGAACAAGGTGAGGTGAGCGGGGAGAGGAGAGGGAGGAGGGGGGCCGGCTGTGGAGGGCCTGGAGTCTGGTCTGAAAATAGAACAAGGAAAATATGGGGAAATAGGTTATAAATAAGATGATGATTTTAAAATGGTTCAGAAAAATAAAAATTAACAGTTTGTCTCCATGGAAATATTGCTTTGTCTAAAATATTCCACAGTATAGATTAAACCTACCTATTCTGGGGGAGACAAGCAGGTTACAGGACTATGCTACATTACAGTTCAGATCTGTGGAGAGTCGCCCTTGTTCACAGAAAGAATTATTGTATTTTTGAGCTATAGAAACACATGTAATGATTAAATGCTAGATGGAAATATTTAATGTCATATCATGGAACATTCCAGGCTAAGCAATAAGGTTTCCATAGAGACAAGTAGGCAGTCGACACTCCACTAGAAAAGTTGCGCTGCACACTTTTAAGGAAAAAAAATCACAATTCCAAATTTAGCCACTGACAATCCGCCGCAGTGACATTGGAGATTTTTCATCACGAGGCATTAATAAATGATACCACCCTAGGAAAGCCTCCACTGTGCCATGAAACTCAAAATCTATGGCAAACACGAAAAACAAAGAATTAAAAAAAGAAAGAAAGAAAGAAAATGAAAAGTAAATTACCCTTTAAAACAGCAGTTGGCTTCAGTTGTCAGGCTGTAGTGGTATATGACTAATGATTGTGCTTTTCAAATGTTTTAAATGTTTGGCACAAATCAGAATTCTCAAATTTTACTTAATTTCTGAGGAAGACTCAAAATCATCTTCAATACAACAAACCTCTCACCATGCAGCCCTTCTGTTATAGATCGAAACAATTCTAAGACTATTCAGAAAAGGTTAAAAGTTGTTCCATTTATTGTTGTCATTATTGTTGTTTTTTCCCTTGCAAACAATTGTGTTTTTGACCACACCATATATGGAATTGAACATCTCAGTGAAAACTATTACAAAACTGACTCAATAGCACCACCTATAGCTGGATCTCTAAGGGAGTAGGGACAGGCAAATTTTGGTGTAGGTCAACAACATTTTGGACAGTGATAGAGGTCCATAAGAGAAGCTTATGATTGGATTGGATTAGATTGATGATGATTTTAGTCCCAAGTTAGATGACATTTAGTCTTGAGATAAACCACTTTTAGTCCCGAGATAGACCACTTTTAGTCCAAAATTAGACCACTTTTAATCCTGAGATAAGCCACTTTTAGTCCAGAGATAGACCACTTTTAGTATCGAGTTAGGCCATTTTTAGTCAGGAGTTAGACACTTCTAGTTCTGACATAGACCACTTTTATGAATTAGAATGACAGACGTCTGCTTTCCCAGGGTTTATTTTTTTTTAACAAAATGACCATGAACATTTTTACAATATGAGTAATTCAAACACGAGTATTCAAACTCAGCCAAAAATGTGTAATCAAATTGTGTCCCCATATAGATTTTGTACACACTTTAGTTGACGGTTCAACTTTTCTTGAAGTCCAAAACAAACATGAGACCAGTTATAGAACGTGGCTCTTTTAAAATAAGTAAAAATAACAGATAGAAATAATGTGGTTATTGTGCATGATGAGTTATATTGTTATAGCACACAGATATTAAACATACCATCCTTTTATTGTTAAAGGTGCATTGCACAACTTTTTCTGGTGGAGGGTCCGTCACCTGCTTGTCTCCATGGAGATGTTATTGCTTTACCTGGAATGTTCCATGGTATGACATTAAACACATCTATCTAGCATTTATTTATTACAGGTGTTTCTATTACTCAAAAATTCAATAATTCTCTTGGTGAATAGGGTTGAATCTCCACTGATCTGACCTGTAATGTAGCCTATAAGTTGTCTGCCTTGATGTAGATAGGTTTAATCTTTACCGTGGAAGAGACAAAGACAAAGCAATAACATCTCCATGAAGACAAGCAGGTGACTGACTTCCCAACAAAATGCACCTTTAAAATATGGACTGTATTGACTGGCCACTGTGTAGCTTGGCCCCATTACTGCAGTTTAAATACACTTCCTTTTCAAAATAAAAAAATGAATTTGAGCATGAAAAAAGAGAGAGTAATAATACTGAAAAACAAGGAGAAGGAGGACATATTTAAATGGCCAATAAAGCACAAGCACTATTAGCAACACAAAGTTAACAGAGCACTATGAGTCCTGTGACAGTGTGTGGGGAGGAAAAAGTGGAAAAACAATTATTCTCAAATTAATGCCTCAGAATACTAAAACAAAATGTGTATGTTTTTGGTTATGAAAATATAAGCTCTATTAACATTTTATTTATCCAGCTAGGGGTCCTTAAACACCTAAACACACTGCCAGGCTTTTTTTTTTTTTTTAATGGGCCCATATTAGATTAATTTCTGATCAATGTTATAATGTAGTTTCCTCACCACAAACAGAGCTGGAGTTGTGTTTTACTCCATTCACACATGTTTAACCTGCAAACCCTGCATATTTAGGCTGAATTCTTTTATCTCATAGAAAACACTCTACACAACTTCAATAGAATCATTTGGGTGACTTCAGCCAATCTCTACTGGACAAAAGATAAAAGGAAACCATTAACTTGTAAAACCACCACTATATGACATCACAGGGTGGAACAAAGCCTTCTGAGCTTTGGAGATGTACACAGACTTAAATAATCAAGGGCTACTCAAACATGTGTGAATGAAACAAAACAACTCCGGGTCTGTTTTTGAAGAGGCGACAACATTAAAACATGGCTAAAAGCAGGGCCGTTAAGTGCAATTCTTAGGTTACAGTCAGTTATGAAAAACTGTTAAAAATGTCACATAGCTTCTGTGTTAAAGTGAGACTTGCAAATTAAGTTAATAGTCTCGATTCACGCTTATGTCACAAAGCAGAAAGATGTTTGGAACGATGCAATTAACTTCCCAGGGCCAGTTTTCTTCATCTAAATGCCACTGTAGCATTCCGTTATGTTCGGCTAATCAACAATTACAACCATACCTCAGTTTTTATAATTTCTCCACTGATGCACAGGTTTCATTTTAACGCTGATCACATTTACTTCAATGGGCTTGTCCACAGTCGGTTTTAACAGATCCATGTTAGGCGAGCCCATTGTCGGTAACTGCACCAGAAGTTGTAATCGCATCTTTCCAAACGCTTTCCTAGTCTGTGACGTAAGCGTGAATAGAGCCTACTTGCAGATTTATGGTCTAGAACTAAGCTGCCCCCTGTGGCCAACTCATTCCCAGAGGCCTGTGACGTCACGTGCCTCTGCTCTGATGACAGTCCATTGGAAACACCTGGAGGGGCGGAGCTCATTTGTCTGACCAATTAGCTTGTAGGTCCAGGCCCCGCCCCTCTTCTCTCCTTCAGTCTCGCCCACTTTACCAGCTCATTTGGACTGTGGATCTGGGCTAAGTTTAAAGTGCATATCACAAGTTAGACTACTCATTTAAATTAATATTTGAGATTTAATTTTAGAGATTTGACACAAAAAATTAGTTTAGTTAATTACATACTAGTTACGATTAGATTGACCTAATAAAAATGACCACATTTATTTTGTTATGAAGGTTTAAACTGCCAGAAAAATTCCTTCCCTTCTGTTTTATAACTCACCTCTACTTCCTTTATTTTTACACTTTTATTTCTTTTTCCCACAAACTTCCACATAACTGATGTAAATATTTACCATAGATTAGTGTTGTCGCGATACTAAAAGTTCAAAGTCAATGTAAATACTAATGAATAATAGATAATAATAGAAATCTCTCTTTATTTTACTATTCCATTAATTCCATTTTTAACAATACTTTTTTTTATATTACCATAAGGTCTTATAACTGTTAGTGGTCCAAGTAGGTTCCATAGTAGTCTAATTAGAAAAACATGAAAATCTGTCATATGCACTTTAAGCATACAAGCCCCACTTTAAAACATATGAAGTGTAAAAAAAAAAAAGCCACTTGTTGATACATTTCTTTCGAATATCAGAAAAAAATAAAGTCCAAATTAAAAATACATCATCATATCACCTCCGTCTTCGTAAAACGGCTGGTTCAAGTGTCTCTGGTTGGGAACGCTGTATTGTCCGAACAGTATAACCACCGGGGTCAAAATGGACCCTTGCACCTTCTCCACCAGGGCCCACGGTCCCTCGCACATGTCGTATATCAGAACTCTGGCCTGGAACCAGTTTAAGAGGGGGACTTGAGGCGCAGGCTGTGCCACCTTCCTCAGTGTACTTTGTGACAATAAATCCTTGAATTTCTCTTCATTAAAGGGTTGAAATACGCGTTTCAAAGGAATACCACCTTCTCGAATCAATGCAATAGTGTCCCAAATATTCGGATTATGCAGAGTCCAGTGGTTTATTTTACATCTATAAGCGGTGGCCAGCTGTAGAACGGCTGGGTTCTTTGAAATGTTGCGTAATGTATTGGGCTTGTCTTGCTGCATGTTTCCCCTTCGTTTCCTCTTTCCCTTGGTTCTGCAATGACAGACACCACAGCGTTACATTAGCAAGAAACGAGGAAAGGAACTGATTTAGCAGCAGCAAAGCATTAGCATGTAGCATAGCTGTTAGCAAGATTAGTCGCCATCTACTAATTATGATTTTAGTTGCAAGCAAGCCACGATCAAGTCTTAAGACTATTAAACATGCTTAGCGGTACAAATAGCAGAATGCCAAATGTTAAATGGGACATATTTAAAACATATTTTTAACAGCTTCAACCACTGCCTGTATAAAGAAGTGGACTATGTGAGTCCAATGTCACGCATAGCCTTTAGTTCCAGCCAAATGAAACTCATTGAGGATAGCAGGGAGAAGATTAAAGGTTGTATGGAGGATTTTTTTGTTTCAAATTGTCAATGATAGCATTATAGAGGTGCAGTAGCGTTGTAATTATGATGACCAAAAAATTCATCAACGCTGGACGTGGTGGGGCTAGCTAAACATTTGCCAATAGATAACGACACTGCCTTGTTATCTGTTAGCTGATAGGCTGTCAATCAAACTCCCTACGTTTCTAGCGTAACTGA